TATAATTATATACAGTTGATAAGAATTCAAAGTTATTTATTTATTTATTTTTTTTTCTTCATAAAGCATAAATATTCGCTCCATAACACATGCATTATATAAGTCGAGAGTGCAATTCGAAAGTAAAATCTCAAATACTTACCTTCCGAATTCCTATCAACGCTATTATACCCTTAATTTACGCGTGTAAAATTAAAGCCGACACATTTATATATGCGTCACTTTGTAATTAAGCCGGAGTATAACTCCACTTCAATTTTTTTTAATATCGTATTTTTTTTAAAAAAATTGACATGAGAAATTTCAAGGGATTATATTCTACGTATTTATAACTTGATTTTTTTGTTTTGGTCCCCTCAAAATAAAAATAAAAATATCCACACAATGCCAACATATTAATGGATTAGTGTAACAAGAGGGAGTTTGTCTCAAATCGAATTTGGATGAAAAAGTTAATAGGTATAAATGGGTGGGTATACAGCACTACCCAATAGTTTAAGTTTTTGGATAAATGGGCAAACATTTACCCGTTACAATTGGTATCAGAGGCAGACTCAATCCTTAATCCGGTATCACGCCAAGCGCCGGTTCTGGAGAACTTCTGAATTTTAACCCCGGATAAACAAGGTGGCCTGAGCTGTAAAGAGGGCATTGCAAGTTCGAGTTGAGGAGAATGTAACAAGAAGGAGCTTTGTCTCACATCGAATCTGAATGGAAAAATGAATGAGTATAAGTGAATGGGTATGCAATATTACCCAATAACTTAAACTTTTGATTAAATAGGCAAACACCCACCAATTACAATAAACATATGCACCGGACCACCCTCGTCTCCTACAGTCTTACTCTATAGATAAAAAAAAAAATTCTGCTGAAAGATGTGGTCTAGCAAAATTTTGACACATGTATTCAAAATTAAATATATATTAAAAAATAATCAACACATTTTTAATCGGTTAATGGGCTCAAATTAAAACTCATTTGAGAACACTTTTAAAACCGTCTCTCTTCCACTGACCTCCATCTCTATTCTCTCATACATCCACCTTCATTCTGAAGCCCAAATCAATCTCCATGGATATCCCAAAGCTTTAATATGTTTCTTAAAGTCTAATCCATAGAAACATCTTATTATTGCTTCATATTTTGGATTGATACGCTAAAACAGATCAAGTTAAGGCTTTGTTTTGCGAGAACAGAGACTACCAACTTCAACTTCAGGTTATGTGTGTGTATATATTATTACCTTGTACACAAGTATGGTTGATCTTTATTATACGGCTTCTGCCTTTCAGCTAATCAAGCCTTATATCTACCTCTTGAATACTTTTACGACGAAGGGAGAATATATGATTGATAGATAAAAACAAAATACTACTACATTTATCATATTTACAAAAAGGAAAATGTGGGCGGCCTTGTATAGTCACAAAGCTGTCCACAACTCATCATCTATGTACCCCATTCTTTACGACTTTAAAATTCAAGAAAAAGTTACGTTGGTTGATTATTTACGCGTCCTTGATACTATATTATATAGCGTAATTATATATATTTGATGTGGACCATGGCCAATTTTATAAACGTCAAAACGTCGTTTATGTTTTTATGTTTATGATTTTTTTTTTAATTTTTTTTGGGAAGACAGATAGTTAAGAAGCAAAACAAACATCATTATTTGTGAGTGACCTTGTTAGGGGATCTAGGAGTCCAATAACGAGAAAGAAAGTAAAGAGAATCGCATGTTATATATATATGGAGAGAGAGAGAGAGAGAGATAGAGAGAGAAGTACTGAATTTCAAGTATATAAAGATGGGCTACTAAATAACTCTAATCAACATAGTCAAAGCTCCATGTATAAGTTTCAAAAAATATATAAAGAAAGAAACAAAATACTATATATATATATATATATATATATATATGGAAAATACTTCAGTCCGGTCCCATCAAAATAGATTGTATCTTGCACACTAACTTGTCCCAATAAGAGGTTAATACCTCTTTTTAACTTTAAAAAATACATACAAAATATGGGTTATACTCATTTTTTAGGTTTAAACCCGAAAGATCTTTTTTTTTTTTTTTTTTTTTTTTTTTACTCCTATTTGTGTATCTTCATCTGCATATTTTATTTTCCTTAACCGCCAATCATTCCAAACCTAATATTTCCATTGTGTCCTCCACCACTCCGCTTCAGATTGGATTTGATTTCGATTTGGTCTTAGTAAGGATTGATTCATTTTCTTAAAACAGGTATGTTAAAGCATTATATTTGTCCAAATTTTGAGTTTTTTTGGCTTTAAAAAACAGAGACAATGTTTCTATTGTGTTCCTTTTGCTCTAATTCTTATTTACAGAAAAAGGCACGTAGTAAATAAAAATAAGATAGAAACTGTAGAATTAAGTGAAAAAATGAATAACTTTCATATATAACATGCATAAAAAATAGTTGAGGTAAATTTTAAAAAGGGATAAGTAGAAATGGTTAGTTCAATTTTTTAAAGGATAGTTTTCTATTTTAAGAAAATTAAAAATAACAGAAAAAGGTAGAAAATACAATTTTCTATGCGTTAATTAAAAATAACATTAAAAGTTAAGTAAGGAAAAAAATAGATTTCTCCAGTTTAACTATAACAAATAGATATAACACATATTTTGTATTTTTATAAGTTTAAAAGAGATATCCACCTCTTATTAGGATACGTGACACAATCTGTCTTGATAGGCATTGCCCAGATACATAGAGCAGTCATATTTGATTATGAAGGAAAGGACTATATATATATATATATATATAGCAGAAGAAGAAAAATATGGATCCCGTAAAGTGCACGTTTTTTTGTGGGGGGTTACAGAGTCTAGTATTTTCTTCTTTCCTTATTTATTTACGTGGATTATAGACATCTAATTAATTTCACACACACACCGCCCCGTCCAATCCAACTTCCTACTAACTTTGTTCAAAGAAGACATGAAAAATGTTTCTTGACAACAAATATATATCATATTTGAACTTATGATTATTTTCTCTTTAACTTATGAAACCCCATAATATGGATAATTATGTTTCCTGACCAATAAATTATTTTCCTTGGCCAAATTTCAACGTTTAAAATTCTGATATCTCATTTGTTAGTTATTTTGAAGGTTTGAAAGGATTGTTTCTTCTTATTTTTATTTTTATTTGTTTTTAATAATTAGGTTTCACAATCATTCCCCCCTTTTTTCTAATTTTTATAACATATATTGTAGAGGAATATATATATATATATATATATATCAGATTTATCTGCCACTTGTGATAACCTTTTTTCCTATAAGCATTCAACAAATTTAGTCTTCACTTTCTCAACGTTGTCTCATTTCTTTTTTATTACAAAATAAAGTGAAGTGTCGAGAATGACAAAAAAAAAAAAAGAAAAAGTGCACGCATGAAGTACATGCATGCCTCTATAAATATGGGGTACCCTTAACCCATTAGAAAGCATCCACTCTTCTAATATTGAAAGCAGCTTAGAGAGAGAAAGCTAGAGAGAGAGAGAAATGGGCACCACCAACAAGACTCTGATTGCCTTGTTCTTGGTCACCTTCACACTGATGCTCGTTATGGCATCTGCAGAACCCAATGAAAGCTTCCAGGGATGCTTCGAAAGTTGCATGCAACGCTGCAGGATGACCTACAAGGGATGTGTTCGTCAATGTTACAGGACATGCATTGAACTCGAAATGCCTATTTTCTTCAAGTAGTGTAGCGTCCATCGGTGCTGCGTTGCAATATGTATCAATTAAGTAAAAATAAATAAATGTGTACGTGCGACTGCGTGCATGCCAGAGTCTACTTTCTTTCCTTCTGTTGTCTCTACTTAGCATTATTAATTATTTGGAATTGCTTGATGTACGTTGTTCCATATATATAATGCGTAGAGAAAGAGAAGGTGTCATGTTAATGTGATGTTAATTGTGATCCAATAAATAAATTTAAGTGTCATGTTGTGATGTCAATCAAATAATTCTGCCTAAGTCTTCGATCCAAATATCACTAAGCAAATTTAAAATTATGTCAAACAACATTATGTGGCAGGGGGTTCTTTTGCAAAGCTAGAATATGAAAATATCAATTGCAATATCCTTATTACTCCTTAACTTTTATGTGCATATATATATATATATATCCTACTTTTTTTTTTTATGCATATCTATCCCACTTACCAATGTTTGTCTTCACATATGCCCTTGCTATTATACAAACTACTTGATAACTTTACTGATACATAACGTTAATAACATTGTGGTAAATTAAAAGGAAAATAATTTTAAAAACAAGGAGTTGGGCAGAATTTCTTAAGTGAATACTTTTAATTAATTAATGTTTGCTTAATATAAGAAAATAGGACCCTCTACTTTTTTTAATCACCAATCAAATATATTAAAGAATTTCTTGAAATTTGGGTCTATTTTGTTTGGGTTTGGCTAAGGCCTTCTTTGTATCACTTGTGGACTTAAGCCCCAGTATCTTTTGTTGTGGTGCTAGCCTTCTCATTTAGCCCACAGCCCATTAGGCTTGTACGTACCTTTCCCGTTTATATAATATATACTTTGCTTTACCTTTCAAAAAATAAAAATGAGGGTTATCAATGTAATTTCACACATTTCAGGGAATATCGTAATACCAAATTGAAGGGTTGTTTGATATAACTAGCAACCTCCTCCTATTGAAGTGGTCAATTTTGTGGCCTCAGGGTTGCACTAATGATCACTGATCAATTGAGCTACACAAGAATTAAAATAAGTAAATATATATATATATATATATATATATATATATATTATTTTCCACAATTGAGCATATATCAATGAATTCAAATAGACAATTACAACAAAATTCTATATTCACATAATATACATATGTATCAACATATAGAACAAATGCAAAACAATATCCATATCCATATAACAAGACTAAGCTTAAATCTTGAAAAAACTGGGTAGGGTAGACTTAGGGTTTGCGGGCACCGGTGACTCGCTGCCATGCAGCGAACCGATGAAACAAAACCAGTGCATTGCTGGTGAGTTGTGCCACATTGAGGACCATGGCTTTAATTGTTGCCCTTAATTTGCCACCCATAGCAGCACGTCCAGAGAAGCCATCAACACAAGTGTTCACATCAGTGAGTGCAGCGCTAACCCAAGTCAAAACATTGTTCTGGTGCCACATGAACTTGTCGGGCCCAGATTGGCCCATTAGTTGTAGTTCTTTGATGGATTGGGTTAGCTGGTCCACACCATCATTAATTTGTGCTATACAGTCTTTAACAGGTTGGTAGTCCATGTCTTTGCTTTGTTTGAGCTGAGTAACCACTCTAGCCATGAAAGCCCTTGCGTTTCGAGCCTTGGTTAGACTCACTGTCAAGGAGAGTTGGGCCAATTGTTGTGGGCTTCGAGCAGTTGAATTGACATATTCGGAAAGGGACTTGACACATAGCTCAGGGTATCGGGTGGATTGACATTGGGCCTCGATGTAGGCCCGGTTCCGGGAACGAATGCCGGCCGACTCGACCGTGCCGGTGATACAAAAAATGGAGAGAAAGATGAGCACCAAAGAGACGTTAAGTTGTGCCATTGTATGCAAGATATTGAAGACTTGGAATGTGTTTTGAAGATGGGGGGGATGTGAGGAGGGTTGTACAATTTATATAGAGGTTGTCACATGCTAAACAATAATACTTAGCATAACTATCGCCGTGTGTGCATTATTAAACACACATTAATATATTGACGCGTGAATATTATTTAACATTTCTTTTCTTGGTAATGCACTTGTAAACTAGGTTGTTACATTAGAATTAGAGCTGTAAGGGAAACTTAAAATTTGTTTTGAGTGATTTAATGGCTAAAGTAAACTTAATTGGACGGTGTCATGTCACACACGACCATTTCAATTTTCAAAGAGGATGTGTGATTAATCATACTTTTTGACTACATTAAATAATAATATACTTGAATCAAATGAGTATAGATCTTAATTAGTTGGATCTTAAAGGTTACTCATTTGATTACAAACAGTAGGTTCAAAACATTTAAATTTTGATTCAACACATTATTTTAATTAAGTTGAAAATAATACTATCACGAATAATGTATTGAAACTAGCAATTCGGGTGTTGAAACCTTTATATCATTACTTTTAACTTGGAGTAACGTGTTGAATCAAGATTGAAAAATGATACATCAGTGTATATGTCGATCTCATTTACATTTAATTATATTCAGCGAACTCATTGAACAAGGTGATGCAAACTATTCCAAATCTTTATTATTATGCTTTACTGATGGGCTTTTTTTTCCTTTTTTATTTTTTTTTTAAATACCAAATTAATATAACATGAAATTGATTAGAAAACATAATCCTAGAATAAAGGTTACGAAAGCCCAAAATCATGCAACAAGATCTATATATATATATATATATATATTAGATTATAGATATGCCAGATCTGTTTAAGAATTTACAGTGGGGTGACATCTCATCAATCATGTGATCCTTGAGTGGCCTTTCGGCAAATAGTAAACTCAAAAATCAATCAAAGATTCAAAATCCACCTTTCGACGCTTTCGTCATTGGTGACTAAACTTTTATGAGCAGATTTCCTATTTTTTATGCCCCACTATACAATATTTGTCTTCACATATACCCTTGCTATCATACATATTATTAAGCTACCTATAATATGGTCCAACTAAATTTTCTTAAACCGACCAGTTAGTTATTGGAGACCGGCAACGACCTTGATTCAGTATCGTGTGCTATGGTCAGCGGCTAAAGAAACTCTCGCTAATTTTATTTTGGAAATGATGAAAAAAGTGTTTTTTGAAGCCAAACAAATACTAACCAGTTAGAATAAAGTTGCGTATATGGAATGTGTCTACTAATTTTCTAACGTAACAAAGCCAAATTTATTAAAAATAAAAATTTGAAAGAACGTATATGAGTGATTTAGTGGTTAAAAAATTTAAAGGGACGGGCCGTAAACTTGAACGTCTTGAGTTTGACTCTCACAATACACAAAAATACCTAGACTTAAATAATATGTGCGGTTTGCGAGTAATTACACATATCCAAGTTTACTTTGTAACTCAAAAATCAGTAGTTGAAAGGATTAACGGTTCCCAAAAAAAAAAAAAAAAAAAGTCTTTAAATATAGGGGCTCAAATGTTAAATAGCCAAGTAACAGTGTAAATGTATAATTAAGAGATGGGGAAAATGAGATTTATACTTTTATACAATTTATACTACTTCTATATAATTAAGAGATGTACATGTTTATACTTTTATACAAATTGCCTCAATTTCCGGTAAAAAAAAAAAAAAAAAATTTTGAAAATGATATTTGAGCCCAAAAAACTGCCAGTTGGGTCTTCGGCCCGATCGGTCAGTCAGCTTTGTGGGCCTTTGTATCATAGTCCGAACTCCGAAAGAGATTGGCGATGGCCTCGCTCTTGGAACTTTCCCAATTCCAAAGGCGTTTTCGGCGCCAAAACCACCAAAGTTTTCTCTGAAGCTAGAGAGAGAAAGAGAGATAGAGGAATGGAAGTGTCGATATTACCAATCTCTGCATCACAGAGAGGGAAGCTGATTTCTGCAGGCTACACTTCTCTCTCTTCGCTTTCATCCGTCTCTCCCTCCGACCTAGCACGAGGTATACATATGCATATATACACACACACAAACACATTTCACACACACACATTACTCGATCTCTCTTTTCTATTCGTTACTGTTATTAACTACAGAAATGCTATTCAATTATGATCGCTTATCACACTCTTTGTATCCGCAATTCACAGTTTCTCCCCAAAATTATCTGTATAGAGTTGTTTCTTATGCTAATTAGGTTTTTATTGTCATTTTGAATTGTAGATCTAAGCATTTCGGAGAAGGAGGCGTTTGAAATTTTGAGAGTCGTCTCAGATAGTAGTAGATTACACAACTCTGATGGAAGTCATACCACTGTTAATGGTATTTTCTCTCTCCTTGTTTTATAATTTGCTTTATTTTTCTTTTTCCCATTTGGAACTGTGATAATACCAAGATACTTGAATCAGATATAAATTTTGATGTGTGTGTATATATATTATATATAAATAATGTGAAATGCGTATATCGTATTAGAAAAATCATAAGGTATAGGCATGTAAATATTTCTTTTGGTCTTTGTTTGCATGCAGGACAACCGTAACTGTTGATCTCCATTGTGGATTATATGACCTCATTTCCTTCTTTTTTATAATTTGATACATTTGTTATGTTCAGCTTTAGTCCAGTGATTTTAGTGTTTATCTACGACATTTGATGCTTTAGTTTTGTTCAGCTTTAGTCCAGTGTAATGGCTACCAATGCACTGCTCCCATTCTCCTGTTAAGCATATATATCTTGGGTGCTGTTTTTCATACTTCTATAGGGTGTGATATGAAAATAGTAAAAGTTTCATTCATTTCTAAGTGTGATTAATATATGTGATGTATGACTACTAATCAAATACATATATGTTTACTGTATGATAATCATATTATGCAAAACTCTGATCAAAGTTATTTAGTTTTCCAACGTTATTAAATTTTTATCCTTCATGTTCTGTCACAAAGAAAGGGCATCGTTTTTTGGGACTTTTAAATTTTCATTAAGTGTAGAATTTCATCAAGTCTAATTATTGTTAGCTGCTACAATTACCAGCAGTATTTTCCTTCTACGGTTTTCTTACAGAAGAAAACAATAGAAAATCCTTTGATTTTGTACAATAATCGATGATTCAGCCAATGAAGGAATTGTACGTGGTGATTCTCTTGGGAATGTTGAGAAATCTTTGTTTTATGTTGGAGTTGGCAGCGATGCTGGGATGACAGAATACAGTAGCTAAATGGATAAAGTAATCAATTGATCTGTAACAAATTGTTTGGTTTGGTTTTTTTTTTTTTTTTTTTTTTCCTACAAGGAAGTGAAATCAGGAAGAATCGTCTTTCCTAATTTAGATCTTGTTGCAAGAGCCATTTTTACCTTCAAAGTTCCATTTTTGAGAATGGAACAAATGCACCAATTTCCTACCCTTGTCATTTTTTTTTTTTTTTTTTTCTAAGCTTTGCTGCTTCCATGAATAAGGGATTGATAATATCTTAAAATCCTTTTTTTTAAAATAAATAAAGAAATAATTGATTGCTACTTAAATTTGCTAAATCAAGGTAACTTAAGAGCCAAAATTCCATGCCATCTTAATAAAATAGAGCATATAACTTGTGAACAGTGAGTCAGTGACAACACTAAGGTAAAAATGAAAAGTAATGAAAATGAGAAAGACACCTTAACCAATAAAGTTGCAAATTGCAAGATAGGAGTTTTATATCAAGTTGAACACCAAGTGATTGACTGAGAACCAGTGATTTTTCATTTGGTAAAAGCTTTACTTCAACTTGTTGGTCATCAGTCTGAGATAACTCATGTTGATTGGGGAGCAGTCATTTGGTGAACCGTTGGATTACCACTCTGAAATATTAAGTGAAACAAATGCAGCACTATGCATGCTGTATGCTGGTATGCTATTTATTTGCTGTTGTTATATTGCCTTCTTTCTTATATATGGGTTCCAACGATGTTGAGAACCTAAAATGCGTTGTAACTGCTCCTCAACTGGATTTTGTGCTTAGAATCTTGTATGATCAAGTGACAACTTTGAAAACAGCCTTTATATTATTTCAGTAAGGCTTAGTTTTTGCTTGAAAAATAATTATAAGAATGTTTTTCCTTCCATAATTGCCTGAACAAGAAGGGCTCCATCTTTTAATTATTCAAGGAAGTTCACTTAAATTAAGAATAATTTTCCAGTTTCCTTTTCATGCAGGTGCACAGACTGCCTGGGACATGCTCCATGAGGAGGAATTATCTACACGCATCACTACATCTTCTGCAGATCTGGATAACATCTTGGGTGGAGGAATAAATTGCAAAGAAGTAACTGAAATTGGTTAGTCATGTTGTTTCTCAGACCATTTATTATCATGTCGTGATCGTTAGTTCATAAGATTTGTACTTTTTTTAATGTGCTCAAAACCAGGCTATTCTTCTGTTACTGAAGAGAGTATATCTTATCTTATTAGGTGGAGTGCCAGGCATTGGTAAAACACAGCTGGGGTATGGATGGTCGTCATTTTAATTCTTTCCTTGTTAAGTTGGGTATTTCTTTTACCATCATGATGTAATAGAATTACAGGATCCAACTTGCTGTGAATGTTCAAATTCCTGGTGATTTTGGTGGCCTTGGAGCCAAAGCAATTTATATAGGTAAGTGTCATAATTTGATGACCAAATTTCATGATTGTTGGTGATGCTTTGAGCTTAAAACATCATGTTTTTTTGTGATGCTTAGATACAGAAGGCAGCTTTATGGTGGAACGTGCTTTACAAATTGCCGAGGCATGCTTGGAGGACATGTTGGAATATAGTGGTTTTCTACAGAAAAAAGTTCAAGCTTGTCAAGTCAAAATGCAGCCCAAGGATTTCCTAGAAAATATATTCTATTTCCGCATCTGCAGTTACACAGAGCAAATTGCCTTGATAAATTACTTAGAAAAATTCATCTCAGAGCATAAAGATGTAGGACAATGCATATTTTGCTTTTGTGCTTTAAGGCTCAAGCAATTTAGCTACAGTTTATATTTTTATGGTTTTATATCTTTTAAACTATAGCAATCTGTTATTTTGTTGATTTTCTCTAACATTGGTGAAGTTCCCCAACAACGTTAGAAATTCTAAAATTCCCCTGCCTAAGTCATTAGTTTTGCCTGAATATTGATAAAAACTAGAGATCCATAGTGATGGCTTGCAACTACCTAAGTATTTTTTTGGTAGAAGGCAACAATCAATGCTAATATATGTGCAAAAAGGCAGTTGTCACAAAGTAGAAAGTAGCGCCTACTGTTTTTCTGATTGTGAGGCCCCATTAATTTTTTAGTGATTATGTGTGCATGTGTGTAACTATGTATGTGCGCACATTGGATGTTTTGGTTGTTACTTCATTTCTCCCCTAATCTTTTCTTAACTTGTGAACGTGTATAGCTAAATATAATGAACTTTTAACACCTGTTACCTTTCGTTGTTTTAACTGATTTGAGTTATGTAACAGAAGTCTATCATCTTAACCATCACTTTATATATATTTACTTATTCACGTGTATCTATTAATTGTGCCTCATGTCAGTGCATTAATTTGATCTCTTCACAGGTTAAAGTTGTAATTATTGATAGTGTTGCTTTCCACTTCCGTCAAGATTTTGAAGACATGGCTCTTAGAACTCGATTACTCAGTGGAATGGCCTTAAAGTTGATGAAACTAGCGAAAAAGTTCAGTGTGGCGGTAAGAATTATTCAATTATCTTTATAGAATTTTAAAGTCGTAATTTCCTAGTGTAATTGATGGAAATGGAAATGTAGTTGGGGCAGGCAGGAAAGTTGTATATTAGGGTTTATCTATTTATTCTTTGTTCTTTTGCCTTTTGCTCTTTTTGTTTCTTCTTTAAAACTTAATTTCCAAATATCTGATTTCATATGACAAAAGATCTAGGCAGAATTGGTTTCAGCAAATATTAAACAATCTCTGTGCCTGTTTCTGTGTTATTATTTCGAACTGGGACCATGTTTTTATAATTCTGTTATTATCTGTAAAACTCCCTTGGAACTCATCAATTACCAAATACCTGTAGTAAATTATTTGTCTGGAATTTTTCTAATATGAAGATGTTTACTTTTTAAATCTCTTTTGTATATTTTTTGTTTTTCCTTTATTCCCCACAAAGCAGGTTGTTCTACTGAATCAGGTGACGACTAAGTATTCAGAAGGTTCATTCAACCTGACTCTTGCACTTGGTAATTTCATTCTCAATAGTTCCCTAACCTATCTAGTTTTTTTATTTATTCTAAAATAAAAAATAAAATAAAAAAGAAAAAAAAAAAAAAAGAGAAGGAGAATTAAAATGCTTACTCTGCTTCAATTTGTAGTTTTTATGATCAATTTTGCCCCTTGCCATGGTTATTCGGTCTTTTACTAGGTTTGATGGTAAATTATTTTGAACAGGTGATAGTTGGTCACACACCTGCACAAATCGGGTTATTTTGTACTGGAATGGCAATGAAAGATATGCATATATTGACAAGTCCCCTTCTCTTCGATCAGCCTCAGCACCTTATTCTGTGACGGGCAAAGGGATCCGAAATTCAGCTTCAAGTAATAAACGCAGTAAAATAATGTGAGTTTCCAAGTTGACGAGAGATGGGCTACATACTCTTCAAATTTGTGAAGTTTCCTTAGAGGCACGTCAAAAGTCAAATGATGAGTATTTCTCATTTGCGTTTTAGTTCTCTAAGTTTTTTTAGAGATCAGAGTGATTGTAGTAAACAGGGATACATATCAAAACAAATAGCTGCTTCTTGAGGCCAAAGCTTTTTACATTTTAGCAAACATTTTATGGTAAGTGTGGTACCAACCACTTGTTTTCGAGAAATTATTAGATAATCTTGTACCACATGGTTTTCAATATGAGTTTCGATCGGACAGGGCCACCAAGTGGTATATAGTCCAGGACCATTTACTAATTTCTCCTTGTTTTCATGTTTAGTTCTAACTCTCTACAAACTTTTTTGGAATCGAAAAAGAGTAATGTGTACTTTTCTTACAAGTTCAGAGTCCTGGACGCCATCAGAATTTGCTCCTTCACCTTAGGTATGTTTCCCTCAACAAAATTTATAATAACCCTTAATACGTTGATGTTTTATGATTGACACCTGTATTAAGAATAATTAGGAATTTTTTTTGGAGGAACTGCATATTTGTGATTGTGAAGTACAGTCCTAAGGATTTGTTGCATATTGGATTTACTTTTATATAAGATTCTTGCAACAATGATTTTTAGCTGCGCTCAGAAGAATCACTTGTAGCAAGTCTTTTTTTTTTTTTTTTTTTTTGTTGCTAACCACATTTGAATTGTAACCCTTGAAGCAAAATATTTGCACACAGATAACTAGTGAATATGAGATTGAGACTAAAAGCCCTGATGGGTCCCAAATTCCAATGTGCTGCCGAATGATTTTTTAAAGCTATGCTTGTTGCAGTGATCTCCCTGGTTGTGTTTTAAACACCCTACTACTATACAAACGCACGCTACAAATAAGTCCATCTAGTTGGACTTTCATTAACGGGAAATTAAATCTACTAGTTTGCCCATTTAAAAAAAATAAAAGAAAAAAGAAATCACTAAGCTCAATCTCGCCCACAAATCAAGGTCGATGGACGATCACAAAATACGGATAAAGAAGAAATCTTCTGTAGGGAGTCTAGGGACGTATAATAATATCAATAACGAATATATATGAATTTTTTTTAAAAAAAAGGAATTTTGACCTTATCTAATTCGTGAATAGTATTTTATCCTACTTAAAAAGGGAATTCTTTCATGATCAGGAATCAAGGGAAAAAAAAAATGATGTCCTCGTATTGCTCTCTCTATATATATAACTAGGATTTCCTTCTTAACTTGAAACCACTTAGAAAGCTAATTCTTTCTGAATTAGGAAACAACAATATATATATATATATATATATATATATATATATATATATATATATATTCCTTCGTATTGCTCTATAACTGGGGTTTCCTCCTTGACTTGAAACCTTAGTTCATGTTCTTTATGTTAATACATCATCTTTTTTTTCCTTGCCTATTTTGTTGATTCCTCTCAAATCTTCTTGTAGCTTCCTAGGATTGATCAGCCCACGCGAACATGGCTAATGATATTAATCCACTAGAAGTACTGGTCCCTTGGTCCGACCTAGAACAAGGACTGGTCGAGTTGATCATGGCACATGTGAGCACAACATTCGATCTTCTACAATGTCGCGGTGTATGCCATTCATGGCAATCCGCTGCGGTGAAGGTGCTGTCATGTGGCAACAAAAATGGAGTATCGAAAAATACCACGTATACCACTCCTTTACTACTCCTTTCCAGTAGAACCACCTTATCTCATAGAGATCATCGCAAACTCTTGTGTCTTGGTAAAAACACCACCACCACGGAGTATAGGTACCGCGCACCCAACATTAAGAGATTGTCTTACTTGATGGCAGATTCCGGCAGCTGCAGCGGCGCACCCAAAAGGAGTAGGAGCGGCGATGGCGGCGGTTTTCCCAGAAGGACCAGGTGTATCGCCTCCTACCGTGGATGGCTACTATTGTATCCCAAAATTGAGAAGTCACTATATCTCTTCAATCCCCTTTCAAGAATGGTTGTCCATCTTCCACCTCCGCCAAAACCGGGAATGATCTACTGATCATCACATCCTCCTCCATTCTCACTGATCCCACTTGCATGGTCTACTTGTATACCACATATTCATGTGAGATCGCTATTTACAGACTTAGAGACAGGAGTTGGACGCCGGTTTTCACTAGAAACTACATATGGGTTTGCGTGATATTCTACAAGGATAACTTTTACTCAGTTGATCAGTTTGGCGTGCTTCGACGATCCTTGTTCGATAAATCTTATTCTAATTACAAGGAGGAGGTAGTATCGAGTGGTTTCAAATTTAGGTGTCGATTCAGGTACTTGGTTGAGTCTTGCTCCGGTGAATTGTTGATGGTCGTGAGGAGGCTTAAAAGTTGTCTAGATTCTGATGGCCAATGGAGACTCAGAACCAAGTTCTTTGAGATTTTCAAGTTAAATCAGAGCAATGGTGACTGGGAAGTGGTGAGAAGTTTCGGTGATCAAGTTCTGTTCTTGTCTCATAATGATTCAAAGTTCGTCTCAGTTAGATACAATTCTGAATATAAAGACAACTCAATCTATTTCATTGATGATCTTGGACGACGTATCAAATCAGGTAGTGAAGATTTTGATGTATATGATTTGAGAAATCATAAGGTTGAGTCAATAAAACTATCTCACGGACACAGACGTATGCATTGTCAATGGTTTTAACCACTCTTATAAGCAATATTGGGTGACGTACTTCTTTAGTTTTTTTTTTTTCAATCTAAGATTTTAATTTATAAATTTGAATATTCCATGAATTATATATACACACACATACAGCTAAGGAGAATGTGGACTTCTACTATTTTAAAAAAAAAAAATTTGAGTTTTTGTTTTTGGCCTTTTTTTAGATGGACACACCGTTGTTCCAACTTCCAATTCATGGTCAAGATACGAGAAAATAAGCTATGCTATTTGCGAATGAGTCATTCTAATTCTGTAAGGCTGAGCTCAGAGAGCTTATTTGTTTGACGAGAAATTTGAGGGACTAGGCAGCTATTTAATCCAAAAAAAAAAAACCTTGTAAAAAATTAGAAGTGGGCCCCACAGATTAGGACAAGTGCAGAAAATATCCTTAAAGTATACTTTGCGTAACACTTTTACCCCTTATTTGAAAAAGTATGGAAAAAATATTCCTAATATTTTCCCATTGTGCAAAAATACCCCTCTGATATAAATTAGTGTTGTAATACTCGTTTTGCCCTTTTACTATTCAAAAAATGTCCGAGGGATATATATGCTACTAATCTCATAGAATAGGGATTTTAGTTGCACATTGCCATATATATTTTGAAACTTTTTTTTCTCTATATATTTCTGAACATATTTTTTAAAAACTTTGAGAATTTGTAAAATAAGGATTTGAATTTTTTTAGATTTCAGTTTACTCTTTTCTACTATATTTTTTTTTTCTTTTTTTTTCTGTACCAACAGTGTTAAAATAAATAAAAATAAAAAAAAAGAAAGGAAAAATTTCCCAATATCAATGGACACTGGTTTTCGGAGTTTGGAGCAGATTTGTTTTCTTTAGTTTACACTTTATTTTCATTTTTTATTTTATATTTTTATCTTTACTTTTCTTTTATAATTTTATTTTTATTTTATATTTTTATCTTTACTTATCCATTGTCGGCGTCCTCTAATAGTGTCATTTTCGGTCATTTTATAAAATTATTTATTTTTATATATTTTGTAAAATGGCTCAGTAAGGGTAATTTAATCTACTTAGGGTTTAAATTTGTCAGAGAGACCTATTTGCACCAGATTGAAACTTTAGACGTATTTTTTGCACGTGAGGGGCATCATTCAATGGTGTCATTTTCAGTCATTTTACAAAATTATATATTTTTATATATTTTATAAAATGGTTTGGGTAATTTAGTCAACTTATAGTTTAAATTTGTCAAAGAGATCTATTTGTACTAAACTTTAAGAGTATTTTTGGCATATGAGAAGTGTGATATGCACTGTAAATATATTTTCAAGGTATTTTTTGCAGTTGACGCTATATCATTTATAGTTGTATGATGATAGCAACCCCAGCGCAACCTCACTTTGTACCATATGTATGACTGTGTGGAAGCAAATTGCTTATTGTGCAGCTTACACACTAGTGGGGCCCAACTCATATTACACATTCCACTCTTCACATATAAGGAATGAAGTAGTGCCACAGGCATAGTGGGTTTGTGTGGGCCATTGTGTGTGAGATAATGATATAAAATGAAAAAATGATATTGTATGACGGTGTGTAAAATAATTATTGTATGTGTATTGAATTAATTAATTAATGTAAAGATAGTCAAATTTAAATTAATTAAAAAAAGTCATTTTTTGTAAATAAATAAAAAGAGTCATATAATTTGCATAATTATTTTTTTTTAAAAAAAGTTTGTACTATTTGACTTATCAATTTTATTTATTTATTTATTACATAATAATTTAATTAATTTGGATAATGATATAACAAATAAAATTTTATTCGATTAATAAATTTAAACATCTTCACCACATATTGATTTTATTGTTTTTTTAATATATATATATTTTTAAAGAATTATATCCGTTAGTATTATACTTGTTGAGAATAAAATTATAGTCTTTAGTATTATAGTTGTTGAGAATAAAATTATTGGAAAAATAAATAAATAAATAATAAAAAAATTATTTTGTTATTTTAAAAATAATAACATAATAAAGTGTACAATGAAAAAATGAGTACACAATAAGAATATGGAGCCTCCAAACTAAGTATATAATCCATTGCTAATGTGACTGTACACTTTACATAAAATTGATGATGTAGTTGTATACTATATATAAAATGTAGAGCGGGAAAAGTTGGGAGCGCCGGGGTTGCTCTGAGGAGTTGGAATCTCACCTAAACTTCCATGTCATAATTGTACGATGAGGAGTTGGAATCTCACCTAGACTTCCATGTCTACTGTGTACATGAAAATGTTGTCAAAGTGTTGTTTGTGCTACTCTTTTACTCAACTTATTAGGAATTAATTAATTGAAACCATAGGTGAGTGAGGGAGGGGTTGTTGAAGTTTGAATAATAATATATAGCTTGCTTTCTCAATTTTTAACTATACTTCTCTACGCATCTTTTTTAACCAAATCTTCAACGCAAACACAGAATCTGAAGTTTGAATGATGTGGCTCTTTATTTTAATTGTTTTGAACCAAATCTTCTACCAAAAACATAAAATAAAAAAGGAGTTATGTCACTTCTTGTCATTCACCAACCATCTCATCAAAGGGATAGTAACAACTAACTACCACCCACCTCCTCATATCATATGTTCTTACACAGGATTTTTATACTGCTAAGCTTGATCTATAGTTTTAATCAAAAAATAAAATAAAATAAAAAGTACCATATTAGTATAACCTAGCGAAGTTGTTGGCACAGATCCATTTCTACGAGACATTCTTTGTTTTGGTTTTTGAGAACCAAATCCAATATTGTTTTGGATTTGCTATTTGGTAGTAATTATACAAATGAGTCCTGACAGAGAGACAGGCACTCCCACTACAAATTATTCCTTTACAAAAAAAAAAAAAAAAAAAAAAAAATTATGAACAATAACTAATAGGCCTCTTATATTAGTTCTTATTTTCTTTTTGAGTTGTCGTGCAATACCATTCCCAATATTTTCGTATATTCATCTTGATGGTTTAAAATGTGATTTTATCACTTTCAAAGATATATGTTATTATAATAATAAATTTTAATTATATTATGTTTGGCAGCACTGTGACCTTTAAAAAATTATGCTGTTATAACATTAAATTTCAATTATGTTATGTTTAGTATTGTTGTCTTAAATTTGGGATTTAAAGATTTTAGTACAAAATTTCAACTAAATTTCTTTGAATTCAGAGTATAAGACGCGGATTTTATAACATAAGATGATGAAAGAGATTGTGAATGCACTATGGAAATATATATATATATATATGACAAATGTTAGCGGATAAACCAATGAAACAAAGTAAATAAAACAATATAATTTCAGGGGAAAAAATAAAAAGGGATTCATTTCGTACCCTCGGTCAACGATCCCGATCTATCTTCCTAGATCTAACGGTCATATCGCCTCGCCGGTCAAAAAGTTGTTGGCGCTCTCTTATCAAAAATCACCAACTGCAGTCTGCAACATTCTCTCTCACTAGAAAGTTAACATCTCTCTCTCAATAAAATCAGTGTGATCGAAACGGTCGAAGCACATACAAGCCCCCCTTTTCTCTCTCTAAAACAACTCTCTCTCTCTCTCATCGAGCCATGGCCGCTTCTTCTCTGACTCTATCCCAAGCCATCCTCGCCCGCACCACACCTCACCGTGGCTCGATCCCCAACTCCGACCGCCTCTCTCTCTCTACTCTCTCTCTCCCCACCTTCTCAGGCCTCAAATCCTCCTCTCCCTCATCTTCACTCTCCATTCGCACCACCAGCACCTCTCGCCAGAATCTGAACTCGCGCCACCACCCAGTCACCGCCTCCGCCTCCGCCTCCGCCAAAACCCTCGAAAAAACCGAGACATCTCTCGTCGAGAAATCCGTCAACACCATCCGTTTCCTCGCGATCGATGCAGTGGAGAAGGCGAATTCGGGTCACCCGGGTCTGCCCATGGGCTGCGCGCCAATGGGTCACGTACTGTACGATGAGGTCATGAGGTACAACCCTAAAAACCCGTATTGGTTCAACCGTGATCGCTTTGTCCTCTCAGCTGGACACGGTTGTATGCTTCAGTATGCTCTGCTTCACCTCGCTGGATATGATAGTGTGAAGGTGTGTCTCTCTGATTCATTTGTTTGATCATGGTTTCATACTGTACAAACACAAAATGGCATGCTTATATGAATTCAATTGGCTGTGGATCTGTGTATTGTTACTGAAATTTCCGTTTAAATCAAATTAGAATCTGTGTATTATGGTAGAAGAAAAATATTGCATTTTTGGGCTAACCTGTGTTATGCATTTTGGAATAAGAGGAATTGCTTGGTTGTATTTTTTGAATCCGAGTCCTCCAATCCTGTGCCTTGGTCCTGTATTGCTAGTGCAATACCATGAAATAACAATGCAATGTAGTTGTTGCATAAGCAATGGAAATGTACATGACGAGACACGGGATGAAACAGGACGAGAGAGGATCGGGTTATATTTTATTTTTATTTTTCCTTTTTCAACGAAGGAGGAGTATGTTTGTAAAAGGTTACCCAGAAAAATTTCTGTCTTGATTGTTCAGTTTTCTCTTTTTCGTAATCCCATTGAAACTCCAACTTATCATTGTTCAATCTTCACATGTTAAAGTGTTATGTTAATTGGTTTTTATATAAGCTTTTGTAATAAGGTGGTTCTGCTTCTGGCAATGAACTTGCTGCATTCAGTAGGAGTTTAGTGCTTCAAGCGATTTATTATGGGATAAGTATTACCTTTGTGTGTGATGAACTTTCCTCCTAAGGCCAATTAGAGTTTTTTCAGAATATCATAATAATTAATTAATTAATTGCACTTTAAGATTCATTACAGTTTCTTTTTAGAACTGATTTTTTTCTTTTCTTTTCTTTTCTTTTTGATTTTTATTGGATCAATCTACTAGGAAGAAGATTTGAAGAATTTCCGTCAGTGGGGAAGCAAAACCCCAGGTCACCCTGAGAATTTTGAGACCCCTGGTGTTGAAGTCACTACTGGTTAGAATCTAGTCCTCAAATTCTTTTAGCTACAAAAATTAAATGCATAATTCACATTAATCTTTTTTTCTTTCTTTTTTATTGTTTTATTTTTATGTGTACACAGGTCCTCTTGGTCAGGGTATTGCCAATGCTGTTGGTCTGGCCCTCGCTGAGAAGCATTTGGCTGCTCGTTTCAATAAACCAGACAATGAGATTGTTGATCACTACACGTAAAATAACTTCTTAAATTTTCTTGCTTTGGATGTTTCTACTAAGATGAATACTTTTTATAGTGTTATCTTGTTTGACTTGTCGACGTTGGAATTTTTGTTTTCTAGATATGCGATACTTGGGGATGGTTGTCAAATGGAGGGTATTTCGAATGAAGCTTGTTCTCTTGCTGCGCACTGGGGACTTGGAAAGCTGATTGCTTTCTATGATGACAACCATATCTCTATTGATGGTGACACAGAAATTGCATTCACTGAGAATGTTGAAACCCGTTTTGAGGGTCTTGGGTGGCATGTTATATGGGTGAAGAATGGTAACACAGGTTATGATGATATCCGTGCTGCAATCAAGGAAGCAAAGTCTGTCAAAGACAAACCCACTTTGATCAAGGTCAGGTTCTAATTGCGTGCATTTTGTAACATTAGGGAGTCTGGTTGAGGAAGAGTGCATATATATTTATGCATTTAAATTTCATGGAAGTTCCAAGGATGTTTGATTAGTTGTAGCAACTTCTCTGTTGAAAATTTCTGAAAGCAGATGTCGTATCCTTCTTGGGAGAAGCTATCAAGTCTCTTATTAAGTCTGGTGGCTTAAGTATTGTATTTCCACCTTATTTTTATTTGTAACTCATCAAAGGTCCTCTAAATGAGGCTTGTAGAAACCATAAAAGTGGTATTATATGGGTATTCATTCCTTGAATTTACTTCCAGAGAGAGATGCCAGATGTTCTTTTAAGTTCTATTTAGGTTTCCATTAAAAGTAGGGTTTTTCTTTGCTGAGTTTTTGCATCTTCGCAGGTGACTACTACGATAGGTTACGGGTCCCCCAACAAGGCAAACTCATACAGCGTACATGGGAGTGCACTAGGTGGCAAGGAAGTTGATGCCACTAGGAAGAATCTTGGATGGCCTCATGAGCCTTTCCATGTGCCTGAGGATGTGAAGAAGTATGGGAACCTTTATCATGCTTCAAAAATTGATTTGATTCTTTTAAGTGATTATTAAATAAACATCTTTGATTCTTCCCTCTGCAGGCATTGGAGCCGCCATACCCCTCAGGGCGCTGCTTTTGAAGCTGAATGGAATGCCAAGTTTGCTGCATATGAGAAGAAGTATAAGGAGGAAGCTGCAGAGTTCAAGTCTATCATCAACGGCGAATTTCCAGCTGGTTGGGAGAAGGCTCTTCCAGTGAGTAATGCTTTGATTATTTTCGTTGCTCTTTATCCCGTCTCTAAGAGTCTGTTAAACATTCTTACATTTGGGCTAACGAAATATGCAAGTAAATGCGTTCTTAGCCTGCATTTTGTATTGGACTGGAGTGCTTCAATTTTTTTTGCTAAAAGTGCCAACGTATATAGCAATATTCTTCTTACTCATTTAAATTATTGTTTTCAAATGCATGGTAGGTAGATGATTTTTACAGATTCAGATTCACCGACCTGAATTTACAGTTTCTTAAATAAGCTCTTCTTTCCTTGTAGTATACGATCAAAAAATAATTTGGCATTACATACAGAACACGTTTTTTTTTTTTTTTTTTTAACCATTTCCTTCCACTTTCTCAGACATACACGCCAGAGAGCGCTGCTGATGCCACCAGAAATCTCTCTCAACAATGCCTTAATGCCCTTGTAAAGGTTCTCCCAGGCCTTCTTGGTGGCAGTGCTGATCTTGCTTCCTCCAATATGACCCTGCTGAAAATGTTTGGGGATTTCCAAAAGAACACACCAGAAGAACGGAATGTCAGGTTTGGTGTTCGTGAACATAGTATGGGAGCCATCTGCAATGGGATTGCCCTGCACAATCCTGGCCTCATTCCTTACTGTGCAACTTTCTTTGTTTTTACTGACTACATGAGAGCGGCTATCAGGCTTTCTGCCTTATGTGAAGCTGGAGTTATATATGTGATGACCCATGATTCAATTGGGCTTGGAGAAGATGGACCAACACATCAGCCTATTGAGCACTTGGCTAGCTTCCGAGCTATGCCCAACATTTTAATGCTCCGTCCAGCTGATGGTAAAGAGACAGCTGGTGCATACAAGGTTGCACTCCTCAACAGGAAGAGACCATCAATTCTTGCCCTCTCTCGACAAAAGCTGCCCCATCTTCCCGGAACTTCCATTGAAGGAGTTGAAAAAGGTGGCTATGTTATATCTGACAATTCTTCGGGTAACAAGCCAGATGTCATCTTGATTGGAACTGGTTCTGAATTGGAAATTGCTTCCAAAGCTGCTGATGAACTAAGAAAGGAAGGGAAGGCTGTGAGAGTTGTCTCCTTCGTTTCTTGGGAGCTATTTGATGAGCAATCAGATGCTTATAAGGAAAGTGTCCTGCCAGCAGCTGTATCAGCCAGGGTTAGTATTGAAGCTGGAACAACATTTGGGTGGGAGAAGATTGTTGGAAGCAAAGGGAAGGCGATTGGGATTGACCGGTTTGGAGCAAGTGCACCAGCAGGAAAAATATACAAGGAGTTCGGCATCACAGCTGAGGCTGTTGTAGCGGCAGCCAAGGCAATTTGCTAGGATTGTTTACTCGAGGTTCTTGGTTGCAGTTGATGGGGGACCATGGAAACTGTTTACACTTAAGTTCTGAGTTTGCAATTTTACAGTGAACTTGAGTGACTCAGGCAACTGCTTAAACTCTTACATTTTATAATAAAAGAAGATAAAAGTTTTTGTCACTTTCATTTTTTTTTTTTTCCCAGTGGAGCAGCTGAGTCTGTATACTGAATTAAGAGATCAAAGAGCATAGAGGGTTTATGGTCTTCAAGAATTTGTACCCAAGTCGAGTTTTGTAGTGTTATTTGATTGATTGTTGAGTTTTTATAGTGTTTACATTTTAGTTAATTCAGAAGCAAATGAATGATTTCATTATAATTCCAATGGACGTGGTCATTAGATTTGAGTGATTAGGACTATTGGTTTGAGTAATTGGTTCTCATCTTAAATGCATGATTATTGATTTTATTTTTGCTTCTGTTATATTTTTGCTTCTTTTAAACAATTTGCTTGTCAATTGGCAATGGGGGGTGATTGAGAAAGAGATTGTGTTTGACTGAATTTGAATGGGTGGTTGAAACAGGCCATCAAAGTTGGTAGAGCTTGCTTGGACTTAGGTGCCGCAACCCAGCCCAGCCCGGGAGACTGCCCTTCACCAGCTTGCTCCCAGCCCATTTTCCCTTGATTAGGCGATGCACCGGTGACCAATCTCCCTTTTTACCCCTTTATGTGTAGGCCCACATTAAAACAACTCACAAATCCAGTCCTCTACCCAGTAGCCCGCAACCCAAGCCCCAAAGGCATGTAATAATAATATACATACACATATATATATATATATGACGACTCTTTGAATGGCAATGGTGGGTCTCGATGGTAGTATTCTGCCAACAAGAGAATTTTGAATTCTGCCTATTTTGTTCTTTTCAAACGCTATCTAATAATTTTTAAGAAAATAAACCTCATACAACTAAAAGCTCAACCACCATCAAAATTTTCAAATCTTCGCTGTCGAATCCTACTATCTCTTTCCAAGAAGAGGGGATAAAGTTCCTCCATTGAACTGTAAGACAGAATTATCTCCAAAGATTTCAGTTGGAACAATCATTTGAGACACTGATTGTTAGGAACTGTCATTTTTATAAAAAATTTAAGTTACGTTCAACTGCATAAAATTGAAGCGAACTAAATTGAAATTAATGAAATTGAAAGAAAAAAATTAATATGCTTTCTTTCAATTTAAAGCTAGATTACAGTTTTCTTTCTTCAATTTTACTAAGAGACTTAATAAAAATTTCTCATTGAATGGGTTTGATTTCGGTTTGAAATCAGATCAAATAAGATAAATCATTGAGAAATCTACTTCCCAATGGGGGTACTTTTAACACCAATTTATATTTGTGATTTTTTATTTATTTATTTATTTTTTATTTTTTGTGTAAAGAATTGCCGGAATGTTTTGAAAGACTCTCAACCTTCTATTTTAAAAGGAGGTAAAATAGGTGCATGTAGACCACAAATCATGAAAATTATATTTGTAAAGTGTGAGAGTTTCGTAGACATATCTACGATTTCAGATAATGATAGTATATTCTAAACTCGTCGAGCAATTCATAAATTACTGGATCCGATCTGATACTCTCACTTTCTTCTTCCCCACACACCCTGTATTTCACACAAGGAATGATTAGTGAAAAAAAGTGAAAGTACAATAATTGAACTTTTTTATATAGTATAAGAGTTTGGCCAGAAAGAAAAATAAAAAATAATCATTTTTCATAATTATCTATTTTTTTTTTAGTGATTTTGCCTTAAAAAAACACATGAAAATAATTTTTTGGCAGAGGTTACATGTATCATTGATGCATTATGGTGGGTGAGAGCATGTGCATTAATGGCATCTCCTGTGCAACAAATAAAGCTAGCTATACTTGAGATGGCGCTACTTGTCCATCACCTACGTATTTCAGTTGATCATGCTTAATTATATACATATTATTTGATAAATACACTTCATTTTTAATTTATTTCTTAAAAAATCTAGGCATGTGCAAGCAACTTGGTAAGGGAGCTCAAGACCAGATTCCACAAAAAATATATATATATATATTTCTAATACTATATTTCTAATACTATATTTGTGAGCACAACGGTTTGAATTTAAACTTATAGAAATTTTAGTTAAAATTTTTACTAAATTTTTTTTAATTCTAAATTTAAACTGTTCATAAAATATGCAGTTATATTGACAAAAATTTATTCCCATAAAATGCAAGCAAGTACGCGATTATTTAACAATCAATAGATTAAGAAAAAAAAAAAAAAAACATTTATTCTATTATGAATTAAGTGATAATAAAAACATGGGTTTCAAATCAAACGCCTAATTGACCTTCTTTAGAAATAACTTGATGGTGTAGCCACCAACCCCCCTATCGCTGGGTTGGTGGGTGTGTAATTGTGGCCCTAATGTTAGGTCATACACCTAACCAGGTGGGGTCCAAGCGCACACTTCTATCCACAAATCCATCAACTAATCATGTCAACCTTTTGCCTAATCATATGTTCTATGTTTGAATAAGATTATTACCAAAAACCCATTAGATATTTTGTAAATCCCACTTGATAATTTGTTTATTTATTTGGATTTTGAAAAATCAATTCAAACAGGCCTCTTTTAATTGTAATGTGCCAATAGAATCTTGCCAATCTCATTTCATAATTTAAACATACTTCATTCATAAATAAAAAAAATGTGAGTATTGATTCGTTGTTATTACCATCTTTGTCAAATGCAGATGGCCTCTTTTACTTTATAATTAATATTCATTTACTTTACCATTAATATTTTGGTAATAAAATCTTTCATTTCACACATATTGAGTAACTGTTAATAAATTGTGACATTTAAAGTTATGAACAATTAATATTTAATAATAAACTAAAATGAATAACTGTTGATAGATAGTAAACTAAATAAAATTAATATATTTAATTGCATGTCAGTTCATATGGTAAGACCATCAAGTTACACAAACCAAAAGTGTCAAATTATTATTATTTTTTATTATTATTAATTTTTCTTTTATGTTTTTTTCGTCAATCTGTGATTGACAAGAGTTTATGCTAAAAATTTCTCGAAAAATACTAATTTTACAATAAAACCCACACGTGCACGTCGTCGTTTTTGGTGTAAGTAGCTTGGGTTGGTAAGGGGCATGATCGTGAGGGAGGATCCTTGCTTAGTGGCGGAGGAGTTGGTTGGTGAACGTCCTCCATTCCCATTTCCCACCAACCTCCTCCTTTCATATACACATCAATTCTAGAGAGAGAAAGTAAATAGCAGCTCTTTCTCCACACACACAGAGAAGGGAGAGAAATGGCGCAAGTTAGTAACATTTCCAATGGAGTCCAAAGCGGCCATTTCAGTTCCAATTTGCCCCAAACCCACAAACCCAAACCTTTCTTTTCTTTAATTTTTGGATCAAAACTGAAGAATTCAGAGAGTTCTTTGTGTTTGAACCATGAAAGGGCACTTAATCATTCATCCATGTCCGCTAGGGTTCCATTCAGGGTTTCAGCTTCAATTGCCACCGCTGAGAAGCCTTCGACGGCGCCGGAGATTGTCTTGCAGCCCATCAAGGAGATATCTGGCACCATCAAATTGCCCGGCTCGAAATCGCTCTCGAATCGAATTCTCCTTCTTGCTGCCCTCTCTGAGGTATACAAAAAATTTAATTTAATTTCATTTGTATATGTTTTCGCCTGTGATTGTAACTTTTATGAACTAAAGCTGAAGACTTATCATTTTGGATTATGATTTTAATTTAAAATTGCTATATTTGATTAGTATACTTACATTTTTGGTGCTACTATAATTTAAATTTGAGATGGAGTTGATTTGGTTTTAGGTACTGTGTAAATGTGTTAGAGAAAAACAAAAGTCTAATGCAAGGTTGGAACTTGATTTTTATTTTTATTTTTATTATTTATTTATATATATATATATACTTCTAAGTGAATGCTATGCATATCTTATCGTGTAATTTCAGATTTTCTGGTGTAATTTCAGAAATATCTTAGTATTTGTTTGGGCATTGTTTTGAAATTAAATGGCTTTGTTGTGATTTACATAAAATCTGAAACTCTCACGTCTATGATATGAAATGAGGCCGTGAAAAGGGAATCCTAGCTGATGGTATAGAATCAGTTTTAGTACCATGCTGAGGATGTATTGAGCAAAGCTCTACATTTCCGGAAGTGTGGTGTACTTTTAGAATTATATCATATCATAATCCTAGAAAGCAAAGTCTTGCTTCCGGAAATGTAGAGCTTTGCTCAATAAATCTCTAGAAGAACTTTCCCGTTTAATGAAGGACCGGAAGTGTGGTGTACTTTTTTGCCTACGGCTGACATGTGTTAGTGAAGAGCGTAGTCCAACATACCAAAGCAAAGTCTTCCTTCCACATCAGTTCATTCAGACAATGAGACCATTCACTTGCTCGGAGAAGATGACTCGTCTTCAAGGGGAATCTGACCCCAATGCTAACGGCTATTAAAAGAATGTCTTCTAAATGCTGAAGAAACTAAAGAACCCATCCGCTGACCATCACTCAAAATGAACCCTGCGAGCGTGGGTGTAACGAGTGCAGAGGCAGAAAGAAAGAATTGGTCTGAGGCTTTTCCTGGATGTAAGATAGTGGGACTCCTCTACCTATACGGGTGATTTGTAGTAGTTCTCCTTCTCTCTTCTCGAACAACCTGCAATAAAACATTGCAAAGTAGGCTAGGTTCCTTTAGCTTTCAACCGCTTTATCTGCCCTTGTTGATGGATGGACTATCGAAGCTTGAATCGGCAGTTTTGAAGCCTTGACTATGCCCATCTATCGGTAACTCTTTCCACCTTTCTCTGGCCAGTCAATCGTTGGGTAAGGCAGATGTTAGCGCAGGAAAGCAGTGAATAAGGAAGGAGAGTGGTTGGGAGAAGGCTTCTTTTGAGAAGATGATTTCCTATTCGCTTACCCCGCCCTATGGAGGGCAGATAAAGCTTTCAACGAAAGAAGCCAATCGAGGAAAAGAAGGAAGATTTGAATGAATAGATGCTCCTTGTCTTGACCAAACTCTCTCCTAAAATGCCGTTCTCGTTATTATAGGATGATCTTTAGTTGCTCGTTTGGGGAGGATTGCTAAGGGGAAGGATGCTTTCTTTTTTCTTTTTTTTTTCCTAGTTTTCTTTTTGTTTGAAAAGCAAATTTCAGCTTTGTTTCCAGCCATTATTGCTTGTGATGTTTCAAATTCAGTTCGCATTCTTCATTGAAAGATGGGGGAGAAATTCATGGAACAGATTAGAAAGGGCTTGAGGAGCCCGGGACACTTGACAAACAAATAGACACGCATGACGACTCTACTTGAGCAATTCCCAATGTTATTTCCAGAAAGCTGAAACAATCCATTCACTGGGGTACTGCTGGAAGTACCTAACCTATGGGCCCTCCTAACATATCTTCGCCCATCATCTCATCTCCTCTGTTCAACCAGGGCGCCAAGCCACCTATCCCTCCTATGATCTATTGGACTAGCTCTCCGGCGAGTTCATTCAATCCTGCTTCTGATCGAGCCTCTCCTTACATTAGGAATGGGTCAAGTATCCAGCAAGCTCCCCTACTTCCCTAGCTAAACAAGAAGAAATAGAAGATCAATTTCCCTTTCTGATTGACCTCATTTAGGGCATTGAAATGCTCTTTTTGGAACAACCCTAAATCTAATTTTGAACAAAAGAAAGAGCATTTGATTCCAAATCAAATCGCGAAAACAATAGTTTGATTTCAGCTATCTCTCTTCTAAAATAGTCTTTCTCAGTGAATGAATTAACAAGAAAAGGATCATGCAACATTGTTTTCTCGTTCACTTTCAAAGAATCCAAAAAGAAGTGGCTTGGTTAGCTATGAGTTATACGAAGGGTCAGCATCTCACTAAGTTCAATCCGAAACTTCATCATTTAGAATAGAAGCCATTCGCTTAAGAGCGAGTAATGGATCGGGGAATCCTATTCATCGACTCCTTCCTTTGTTCGCTACATCCGCTTCATTCGCTATTCAACATCAGGTCACAAAACAAAGAAAAAAGAAACAATTACAAGACTGAGAAAGACCCGGGCGTACACTAAAGCAGAGAGGAATGGGGTGTTTGTTAGGTGAATGGAGTGGGCTTTAGTAGTGGGACAGTTCATATGTAGAACTTGTATTCAAGCGACAGGCAATCTCCTCTTGATTGAGATTCTATGGACGTGTTTTCTTACCTTGACCCTTGTCCCCAGACATCTTCTTTGGGAAGCTCTGGAATGATCCTTGATAGCGATTCTATGGACTACGCAAGGAATGAAAAACCTCTGATTTACTCCTAAATAGGGCAAACCATTACAGAGGCAGAGAAAGTGGCTTCAAACGAAAGAGAGTGGCTATAGACGCGTTCTTCCTTGGGTTGAGTCATCACATGTCAGACTCATCCTAGAGCCTCAAGGAAGGGGGTGAGACGAAACACCCCCGTAGTACCGTCAAGATACATTCCACCCTAGTAGGTGCAGTAAGGGAAGGTAAGAGAGAAGCTGAAGTGCGGGGAAGCAGGGAGTCATTGAATTTTGTGAATGGAAACCGAATCTACCTAACACTAGTAAAGGAATCAGTTATTGACCAACTCTGAGACCTTTTTCAGAGGATAAAATTGAAGTGATTTTGGCTCATTTTGGGGTTTCAAAGATCAGGTGTATTTCTTCCCTATGGGCTTCAATCAAAAATCATACCGAATATTTCGTTAGAAATCCTGGGATCAGATCCTGTGGTCATGAGATCGCTTCTATCAGCTCTTTCTTACTTCTCTCACCGGGGGCGGGGCGCTGATGGATCTGATGACGCCTGCTATACATAGAAAGTCAAAATAAGGACAGCTTCATTGGCAGTCTTTGATCTTGTTGATGTTGGACTTGCTTTTGCTGTTTATGTTGGTGGTTGGATCACTAAGATGATGACGAAGTCACGTGACGTGGGTTCTGGTTATAAATGGTGGTGCTTTACAATAGATTTGGAACAACAAATGGAACCCAACTCTTGCTTGGAAACTGGATCGAATACTCCTTATGAGACAGGAAAAGGAGCCCGGCAATGCTTGCTAGCTTCTTTCTCTTGAGGTTCCCATAACGCCTCTAGCCAACCAAACCCCGTCATTGGCTTTGTTGAAAGAGACTGCGCCTACTCCTTAAGGTAAGCAAAGCTTCCCGCAATGAGCAATGAGCTCAGAAAGCATTAATTAAATTCAGAATCAAAGTCTCGATTGGCTCACCTTTCAGCTCTATGACCAAGTTGCATCGCCTATGGGCAAAGAAGGGGTTCATCATTTTTGCTTTCAAAGCAAGAGTCACTGGAACAGTAGATGGAACAGTGGAGACTTCTAGCCTTGCTGGCCTTTTGGATCTTCACTCCTGACCTCCAACACGGAACTGGCAGAGTTTTCTTCCCTTTAAGGGCTGGGCAGGCACGCATATATAGCCCCCATGTTGAGCTTGCAGCTGTCAGTTCCTTGCTCGGATGAAGAGGGATCCCTTTTAGGAGTATGGTCGGGGACTTAAAATACTCTACGACCTTTACGTTGATGTAAGTGACTTGGATACCTAGTTCCCAGATTACATATCTGCTCACTCTGCTGCTCCCTAATTCAGGGCACTTGCCTTATAAGCTGGGTCCCTCACTTGCGATCTCAACCGAACACCTTCTACTGGGTCAAGAGCGAAACCCAACCTTGTGTCAATAGCAAGGCAAAGGGATCCCCTAATGATAAGGAAATTCTTTATTTACAACTGCATCAGGTGGATAGATGCGGGCAGCGAGTCACAGGTTAGCGGAATCTGCTTCTGAGACCATGAACTTGAAAAGGGAATCTTACTCCATTGATTGGAGAACCTGCATGTATGGGAGTTCTTCTATTTGTCTGGGAGTGCTTTCTTTATTGCATGTGGTCATCTGTTTTCAAGTTTTCCCAAATGCTAATCATAGGAATAGGGGAAACTGCCTTAACCAAAGGATTACCAGTTAGTCATTTTGCCTCTATAGGAGACTAAACTTTTTCAAAAATAGACATCGGCTAAAGGCTAATACCTGGTTCACTCATTTTGCACCTATAGGAGATCAAACTACTGGAAAACGAGAGGCGAATGGAAAATATCTTAGTGGTTGTTTGGGCATTGTTTTGAAATTAAATGGCTTTGTTGTGATTTACATAAAATCTGAAACTCTCAAGTCTATTATATGAAATGAGGCCGTGAAAAGGGAATCCTAGCTGATGGTATAGGATCAGTTTTAGTACCATGCTGAGGTGCCAGTTTGAGTATTACAATATTCATGATGATGAGATTGCTGATGAAAATAGAAACAGAACATATAGAATTTGGTTGCTGATGCCATTCAGATTGATGAGATAAAATGTTTTACTCGGATTTCACTGTTACAGAATTTATAGGTGAGTGGAGAATTTGATTGTTTCGGAAATGCCTTGAGGCTTTTTTTTTTTAGACAAAGGAAAATGGAAGGATCAGTTAGTAACCCACAGGACACTATCTTTCAGGGTTAAATTTCATGAGATGCATACCTCAAAGGTGCACATGAATTGTATGCCTTGCAATCTTGTCTTTGAGGGTTTATCACTTATTAGAAACTGAAATCTGTTAGAATGATCTGGACAAGATGTTACCATAACATGTTCTTTACGGTATCGTTTAATACAATTTATTTTCTATGGAGGGTCAACTATACATGTGACAGTGAGCTCCTTAAAGATTGTGAGGAGTTCTTGTTTACACGATTTGCCTTTTGAAATGTATTTTTATCCAATTTTAAAGGAACAAACCTATTCCCAATTTAAAATGGTAATCATTGAGCCTTACTGTAAATATGTTAGTATCTGGTAACTGATTGTACTGTTTTTTGTCTTTCTACCTTTGTATATCTGTCAAACAGTCTGAGTTACACAATAAATGTTACCTTAAATAATTTTTCAGGGGACAACAATTGTAGATAACCTGTTGAACAGTGACGATGTTCATTACATGCTTGGTGCTTTGAGAACTCTTGGGCTTCGCGTGGAAGAAGATAGTGTTATAAAATGTGCAATTGTGGAAGGTTGTGGTGGTTTGTTTCCAGTGGGTAAGGAATCAAAGGACGAAGTTCAACTTTTCCTGGGAAATGCAGGAACAGCAATGCGCCCACTGACAGCTGCAGTTACTGCTGCTGGTGGAAATTCAAGGTCTTTCTGATTATGCTTTCAAAAACCACACCTGACTCCCCCTACACTACATTTAATGCAAACCAGCCTGGCTACATTCCAAAACTTCCAAATTTTGTTGTCATTATAATCTTCTCTGAAAAATGTTATTGCAATGACATAACTTTTTGTTATTATTTATCATCAGTATGTGACAATCTGAAGCACACAATATGGCTTGCTTTCGACTAAATACCATAAGATTGATGCTTCATGTGGTGTCCCCACTATACTGACACACATTTTGTTTATCCTCTTAGGATTATTCAATGTTTATCAATTTGTTCATTTAATATTTTAATTGCTTTCAGCTACATACTTGATGGGGTGCCTCGAATGAGAGAGAGACCAATTGGTGACTTGGTCACAGGCCTCCAGCAGCTTGGCGCAGATGTTGATTGTTTTCTTGGCACTAATTGTCCTCCTGTCCGCGTAATTGGGAAAGGTGGCCTTCCTGGGGGAAAAGTGAGCTTCAGCATTTTGTTGCTAAATTTGATTTAAAAATGATCAGCTGAATATTTGTCTATCCAGATGGAATTCATGTTACTTGTTTGTTATTTAAATGTTTATAGCCTTTTGCCATATAAAAATCCGAGGTTAAGACAGCTCTGAACTCGTGGAGTAAATAATATTAATTTGAAAGAAATAGGTCACTTTTATTTTCTTTTTCTTTTACCGTGTTTTGTTTGTACAGACAAATATTTGGAATGGGCTTGCATTTATGCTGAATCCTGATTCAGGCTAGTTGGGGTCTATGCTGCCTTACAAATGAGTTTTCTTTCAAGGATATTCACTGTTCTGTTTGGGTTTAAGAGTCATTTTTTGTTATCTATCGTGTGTCTTCCTCATTTTATATTTTTATTTACATGAGTTTGGATCATGAGCATTAACAACCCAAAAATGACTCCATGAATATAAAACCCTGCGCATTGCTTTTGGGGTAAAAAGTCTGACATATTCCAGTTGTTTAGGAAAATGCTAAAAAATTGAAAGAAATTTCATTTTGAAGAACATCATTTTAAAGAAATCATGTACACACACATTAAAAAACAAAAGATGGAGAGGCAGGGAAGTCCTCAATGGACTCTTCAAGTTCTCTTTGTATAATTTTCGTCCTTCCTGCTTCTTCTGCATATTGCAAGTATATGCTATTTATGGTCTTTCATTTTTTTTTTCTTTTTCTTTGTCTTTTCCATCTTCTGATGATTTCTGAGGTTTATGAATTTGTGGAAGAATTGAGAACCAAGTCTGGGTTTAACACTTCTGTCATTTGCTTTACACCCTATAAAATGATGCAAAATTTATTGAAGATGCTAACATGCTTAGCTGGTAATGCATGTTGGTGGTAAAACTAGTTTGAGTCTTCAGAGGAGCTAGAACACCATCTTCATCTAGCACCCATCTTAGCTAAATTTAAAACAAATACAGAATCGAGACTTTAATTTCGCAAGGAATTTTTTTGTTCTTTAAATGAAAGTTCTCTTTGATTATTCTTTTGGTCTACTCTAAAAGTAATGTGTTTCACTCAAACTGTTGATATATAGTCTGTTTTTTCCACAACGATTGTTTATTGAAGATGATAAATATGAAAGTAATGATAGTTTTATGCTTGTCAAGTAGCTTTTTGGGAATGATGTCTGTGCTATTCAATTCTGTTAAACTTTTAGCCTAAAGAAAGGAAAGGCTTCTGTGTATGTGTGTGTGTTTGTTTTCTTTTCTAACTAGTAATTACTTCTAAATTTGTCGTACAGAATGTTCTTCGCATCTAATACTTGAAATTTTTTCTTGCCCTTCATACATTACTCTTTGGCTCTGCCATTCATCTTTCATTTTTGGTGGTTTTGTGAAGGAATAAAATGTAAATTGAGCCTTTTGGATAACATCTTTCTTAATAATAAACATAGTTTTATTTATCGTTGTTAATCTTCCAGGTGAAGCTTTCTGGATCCATTAGTAGTCAATACTTGACTGCTTTGCTCATGTCAGCTCCACTGGCTTTAGGAGATGTTGAGATTGAGATTATTGATAAACTTATTTCCATACCTTATGTTGAGATGACTTTGAAGTTAATGGAGCGGTTTGGGGTTACTGTAGAGCACAGTGGTAACTGGGATAGATTCTTGATACGAGGAGGTCAAAAGTACAAGTAAGTCTCTTTTGAATAAAGTTGCACTACTTGGTGAAACTTGGTTGCTTTGGAAGTTAATAGAACGAGAAATTTCCCTCAGGTCTCCCGGAAATGCATATGTTGAAGGTGATGCTTCAAGTGCTAGTTACTTCCTAGCTGGTGCAGCTGTCACTGGTGGGACCATGACTGTTGAAGGTTGTGGTACAAGCAGTTTACAGGTACTGATCACACCAACATACCACCTTTCATTAGTTTCGTTCCTTTGTGATAATTACAAAAAAAAAAAAACAAAAACAAAAAAAAAGTTTGGTAGACATACTGTAATTTTATTGTTTTTCATTAATGTGAAAATCTGATTTTGTTGCAGATAATCAAAGGATTTGAGATAAAATATCCATGTACTATATTTTTACCTATATTAACTCTCAAGTGTACCTAATTATAAACAGAACATGCATATCTTTCCTGGCTTATCTTCATTGAAATATTCTAATTAGATGATTATGTCTTTCCCCATTAATATTGTCTTCTTAGTTCTTCCATATATTTGAGCTCCCTAGTAGTTTTCTGTTGCAAACAAGTGTCCACGTATCAGATTATGTTTCAAATGACTCTTGACTTTATATTTCAATTATGCTCTCGCGAATTAAGTCATCTCACCTTTTTTCTTTTTGAATTCTATTTCCTTTTAATGTAGGGAGATGTTCAATTCGCTGAGGTTCTTGAGAAAATGGGTGCTAAAGTTACCTGGACAGAGAACAGTGTAACTGTGACAGGGCCACCCCGGGATTTTCTTGGAAGGAAACACTTGCGTGCCGTTGATGTCAATATGAACAAAATGCCTGATGTTGCTATGACTCTGGCTGTCGTTGCACTCTTTGCTGATGGTCCGACTTGCATAAGAGACGGTATGGTTGTTTTAGTCTGTCATAAATAATATCTTATAAATGGTTTGACATTCTTGTTTTGGTTGTTGAAAATGGGAGGGGGAAAAAAAAAAGAAAAAAGAAAAAGGAAACTGGCCTATTACTTAGAATCTTGGAACTTCCCATTTCTTGGTCCTGCATTTCAAAATTTGTCGAGCTCACATTAACAATGTCATAAACTACGTCATGGTCATCCTTATAGTATATTGTAGACCGTATATATAACAATATCCAAGATAATAGCCTCGATTGTCTAAAAGTTCTGAGGAAACTGTTTGTTTTAGTGTGTCATAAATAGTATCTTGTAATATCTGCCTAGCAAGCATGGATATGGATTCTGGTATGATATGATACAAATCTCAAAAACAATAGAACACAGATATTTTACTACATCAAAAAATAATAATATAATGTATTATTATTTATAAAAAATAATTTTTGATCATTTTATCTACAATATCATGAAAGAAATCACTAATTTTAAGCCTAGAGTTGGGATTTTGTTGATTTTGTTTTTAATAAATAAATAAATATATATATATATATATATATATATATATATATATATATTGTAACTAACCAATAATATATTTTAAAATTGGATTTGAATCACATCCTTCCAAGAAAAATAATTATAAAATTACCCCGTTGTGTCCAAACGCGTCCTTGCAGTGTCCAACCAAGAAAAAAGAAAAATCAAACTTCAATTCACTTCTAATACTGCCACTGAATTCCCTAGGAGAAGTGTTTGTACTTCCTTTATATCCGTATGTATATTTTGGATAATGTCACATTAATTTCCAAAAAATAAAAAATAAAGGAAGCAAAGAAAAGAAGAGAGAATAATGCCACTTTGTGTAAAATAAATGCCGGTCAGACTTCCCCTCCTAGAAGCCCACAAAAATGTAGGGACATTCACCAGGTAATGCATTTTTTGAATTATATATATATATACGAAAGTCACGTGCACTATATATATATATATATATATATATATATATATATATGAAAGTCACATGCACCCTAGTCCCAAAAGGAAATTGAGCCCTAAACTTCCTGTTTACTGTGTGGCAGGATATGCCCCTCAACCAGACAACTTGTAGTTATTTATTAATATTGTTGGATGTAAGAAAATCTAGATGCACTTTTATGTATTAGATGTGTATATAATCATATACCTGAATACATACATATATTTATAATTTATATGCAATATGTATAGATAAGTTTTTGGTTATGTTATATAAACAAATAGAATTAGAAACGATCACATTCGGGAGATGGTTGAAGTAGCACCAGTTGGTAATAAAATGAGAGAAAATAGGTTAAGATTAAGATTGTATGGATATGTGCCAAGAAGACCTTTAACTGCGTTGGTTAGGAAAAGTGACACAGTCCACATTGAAGGTAATACTAGGGGAAGAGGAAGACCAAAGTTACCGTGGGTAGAGTTAGTATAGAAATATATGATAGCATGTGGATTGAATGATGCTATGGCCTTAAATAGAGCAGACTGGAAACATATGATTCATGTAGCCAACCCCGAGTAATTGGAAAAATGCTTGGTTCAGTGCTTCTTGTTGTTGCTGCTGTTATATAAACAGATACTTCTAAAAAGAAACATTACCTTATTTGTTCATAAGGTTAGCACCCACTCATTAGTGATTAAATGGCTCACTTTGTGAGGTTTAATGATGTACTTTCTTTTATATGCTGCTATTTTGTTTATTTTTCTGTCACCACTTCAATAACCTTTACTAATAGGAAATTGAGAATACATTCTTCATGTTTCAGATCCATATAATTATTCATTTCAATTTGATTTTTTTATTTTTTTAAAAATATTTGTTAAGGTTAGATTTTGTATATAAAAGTTCATGTTTAAATGATCTTTCACTTTGAATGTGACATTTTGATCTAATAGAAGTTTGAATTTTATTATGTTCTCCTTGTTGCTCTATCAAAAAATGGAGTTCATTAAAAGTTGAAAATAAATTTATGATGTTCTTGGTTTTAGATACATTTTGCCTGGTTTAATTGAATGCCTCTGTATAAAATTCTTTTTGTGACTAATAATGGTCTAGGATTACTCCTAGGCCTTTAAAATTGGATACCCTTGTATATATTTTTGCTTACAAACAATAATAGTACATAAACTTACAGTGGGCATGAAGTACAAAGCGTCATATGATAAATTTTGAAAAATAATAGTTATTACTGGGCCTGTTGTGGTTGAGAATTTTGTTGTGCGAGTTGATAATAAGATTCGTTTTCTGGGTATCAAATATCGCATACGGCAAGGCGGGCAAGCCAGAATATTTGAGTCATGGAATTACCATTATGCGTTTACATGGGGCACATATACTATAAATGGAATTACCATTATGCGTTTACACCAATTGTTGGCCTTTACCATATTGCCTGATTGAAGCAGAAGTTAAGATGTAAAATTTCCTTCACCAGAAACAGTTAAAAGAATAATTAAACAATAGAAACTCAGGCCTTGTTTCATGAACAGCTGAAAATTGTAGGAACGGAGTTAATTTACTCAAAAGTTTGGGTACAGTATAATTTATGAATGATGCATGTTTCTAATTTCTTGTCTGAACAAAGAGTTTTATCTCAATGTAAGGACACATTTTCTTTTTATATAAAAAGTTACACCTAGAAGGACTGCATCTAAATTGACTCTTGGTCTTTTGCTTCAGTGGCTAGCTGGAGAGTAAAGGAAACGGAACGAATGATTGCCATTTGCACAGAACTGAGAAAGGTAAGGGTCTAGCACCGTCATTCATATGCGAAACTGTTTTGATGTTAGCTAAGTTGTCGATACTTTATATTTTGAAATCTTGCAATTTGGTTTTAAATTTTCTTTTCAGTTGGGAGCGACCGTTGAAGAAGGGTCAGATTACTGTATTATCACTCCACCAGAGAAATTAAATGTGACAGCAATAGATACATACGATGATCACAGAATGGCCATGGCATTCTCTCTTGCTGCCTGTGCAGATGTTCCAGTCACCATCAAGGATCCTGGCTGCACTCGGAAAACCTTCCCTGACTACTTTGAAGTCCTCCAGCGGTTTACAAAGCATTGAACAATCCTTTTCCATTTAAGACAAGGTCAAAAAACAAAGACAACTATAAGTATATTTGATCGGCTACCACCACAACAACAAAAATCTTGGCTCCTGGCTGGGGAACGGGAGAGAGATAGATGCAGCCTTTCCATTTCCTTTTGATTCACCTTGTGATTGTTAAAAAATATATGTTGGCCAGCAAGGCTTATGTTGTCAAGAGACTGTAAGTTTTAGTAGTGTATTGGATTGATCTCAAGTCGCTTTAGAATGATTGCAACGAAAACCATTTTGCCCCAAGGGTTCCATTTGAATGAATGCTTGAATTCATTGTTTTTCTAGGGAACAATTTTTTTTTTTTTTTTCCGGGGATCTCGCTATATTGTAAGATTATTTTGTCCAACAATTGAGTTTAGTGCTCCCCAATATGATTTTATGATTTATGGAATACCAGATTCTCAGTTTGGTTTAGATTTTTGCAGTAACATTCACTAGATCTATCTATGAAGCATATGCTGGAGGCAGTTTCCTGGAAAGTATAATCTTACGTGATTGCTCTTGTTATTATGTACTGTACCTATTTTATTATTATTATTTTTTTGGCTTTATTTATTTAATTCATACATTTTAGTATATGATTTGTTGAGGGTACATCTTACATTAACTAGCAATGCATGGAACACGATGCCAGGGTATAAAGAGAGAACCCTTGGGACATGGTTGCCTCACCTTCCTGTATCAGAAGGTCACATGGTAGCTGCTATGTAGAGATTTATTTCTTGTTCTTTTCTTAGAAAATATTAATTTATTAAAAAAACTTGTGTACTATGCAAAGAGAAATTTGTTCTGTTTGGTAGCCGAGAAAATGAAGGATACTGAATTCTCTCAGTACACAAGATGACTCCTCTTTATGAACTTTTATAGAAAGCAGAATCACATTTAATTATGTATTTATGTATTTATTAATAACTGCAAAATAGATAATTGTATTCTCAGGAGTGTAATGTAGGGAATGTGGTGGTAGTGTACTCAAGTATATTTTTTCTTGAACATCACTCTATTTCATATTAAGTCACAATGAATTTGAATTTAAGCAAGCTTAGTTTGGTGTTTGGTGTTTGGTGTTTGTGATTGTATGATAATCTCTACACATTGGACTCACATGTGCTAGCCTAGCCTAGCATAAATTGGAACATAAGATACCTAATAAAAAGTTTCTTAAAAGAAGCTTTTGCCTTCTTTTTAAGTTTGTTTCCACTATTTCTATTACCACACATTAAATGTGACTCCCCTAATTCTCACATGACTTTGTCTCCTCTTTGACTCGTTACAATGGCATAAAGAGAAAATAAATCAATTAATAAAAAGAAAAAGCTAAAAAGTATAACAAAGTTTGGTGATTGATTTAATTTGTTTTTATTTTAGCAAGAGCATTTATAAACTTCATGACATTTGACTAATCAAGTTATTTTTACATGTGTGAGACACCCAATTGTCAAGTTTTTTATTTCATTTTTAAAATAAAAATGAACATGAGTTTACAAGGAAAATCTAGCTAAACCAGTGGAAGCTAAAAACAAAAGAAGGCCTGTACAGTTATTAGCTTGAATAAATTCCTGAAAAGAAAAGAAAAGAAAAGAAAAAAAAGAGAGAGCATATTCTCCTTTTCCAATTTGTGTTTGGCTTATGAAAAAATAAGGTCAACGACCTCTCTGTTCGATATTCAACGTAAAATTGGTTGGATTTGTGGAGTACTATTGACTGAATGCCAGAGTTTTAAATCATGCTTTTTGCAAAACCTAATATATATATATATATATATATATATATATATATATATGCGGACACCTCAAAACATACATAAATGATGGGGTGTTAAAGGGCTTGATAAAAAAAAAAAATGTTTGAAATGGAATTTATGAAATTTGTTGTCGATTTGATATTATGAGATGACACATTCAGTAAAATTAAGGATTTACTTGGATAATATTTGTAACTTACAAGGGGTTAGAGAATTTCAAATTATTGATTTATAATTAATTTAATAAGATAATGTAAATTAAATATATATAAGTAAAATCCAACTAAAATAAAATACTAAAACACCAATAAGCAAAGTCCAACTAAACTAAAATAAAATACTAAAATATCAATAAGCAAAGTTTAAATAAAATAAAATAATGGGTTAGAGTGTTCCAAGCCATTAATTTATAAATAATATGTCTATACTATTATTAAAAAAAAAAAATTATTAATTACTATAAAAAGAGATTTTTTTAATTTCTATAAAATTCTAACACAAATTACCTATTAATATAAAAAGAGTTTTTAAAAAAGTTTCTATAAAACTCTTAACACAAATTACCTAATTATTATGAGTTTTTTTTTTTTTTTCCTTAATTAATACCACGTACCATTTATATATAATAAATAATAATGCAAAATTATTCTTCCATGTATTTAATTTATTATTATTATTATTATTTTACTTTATACCCATCCTTTCGCTAATAATATATTTATACTATATATAAAAAGAGTTTTTATAAAATTATAACACAAATTACTTATTAATATAAAAAGAATTTTTAAAATAGTTTCTATAAAACTCTCACACAAATTACATAATTATTATGATTTTTTATTTTCTTAATTAATACTATTTATATATAATAAATAATAATGCAAAATTATTCTTCTATATAAATAATTTTTTATTATATTTATTTATGTTTACTTTACAGTTATACACACTTTGCACACGTGCAACACAATATTTTACCAATATAAAATTAGGGAGCTGATATTGACGCTCCACTTCAATATTTGTACTAATTAAATGATAAAAATAACCCGAATTGTTTTAATACTACTCTCTCAACTCACTTTTCATCTATTATACGTTTCCTTTCTCCTTGCTATCTTTCCTCTACCGTTAGTAAATTGCCCTCAATATATTAAAACACAAATCATTGGCAATACTATCAATTTGAAATAAAAAAATAGATTAATAAGAGTAATACAGAGAGTATGTGAAAAAGAATTCGACATGACCTAATAAAATTTTAAAGGTTATAATCATAAACTGTGTAGTGTTTTACACTCACTTTAAAATCGGTATTATTTCTGCGATGACTTTTTAACTTTTGTTTTCTTGTGGGGATAAGTATAGATTTTCCAACTTTGATAGCTTCTTCTATAGATAAAACACTCAATGTTATTAATTATTAATTTTTACTTTTCATCTATTCCCAAAATTTGGCCATACATGAATTATGTATATGCATAATCTCATTCACCATTTGTACACAAAATAAGATAAATAGTTATTTGTAAAGTGGGGGATATTTTCACTTCACTTTTCTTCAATTGCATTATATTTACATTTTTTTTTATATACAAAAAAAGACAAGAAGATTTTCGAATTCATTAATACGACATCTATTAATTTATAATGTCACACTTAACTTTTTTTTTCTTCTTTACTTTCTTTACTATTTGTTTTTTCCCGGAGGTCCTCTCAAAGAAAATAATTTATTCCATACTACTAATTTTTATTTTGGCCGACAAAAGAGATAATTTATTCAACAAAGTTAACTTTTTTTCAACCTTGTCAAAAGAGGTAATTTTTTAATTTTTTTTAGTAATTTTTTATGGGTGATGTCAAAAGAAATAAGATAATTTTTTTTAATCCTCTTCTTTTCGTATTTATTGTTATTATTATTATTATTTTGGAAGATAACTTCTTCAATAAATATATATTTTTTTAATCGTTACTTTTTATTTTTTTGGTCCAGTCAAAAGAGGCAATTTATTCAACATAAATATATATTTTTTCTTTTGTCAAAAGAGACCTAAAATGTTAAAAGTTAGAGATAAAGATAGAAAATTTAAAAAGACAGTTGTGTCATTTAAAGAGTAATAATTATTTATTTGTAAAGTTAAGATTATTATTTAAGATTGTGCAAATGATGAAAAGTGGAGTGCCTCCCTTTGTAAATGGTAATTGGTAAGTGTTGCTGATTTAGTTGGAGTAAAAATGGAAGCATACAAAAAAGAAAGATAAAAAGATGGAAATGAGAGTAATTTGATGGCAGGCGTCTGTGATTTAGTTGGAGTAAAAAGGCAAAAACATACAAATGGAAACGCGAGTGAATTTTATTTGATAGAGTAGAGATCAAAGAAGAGAGAAAAATGAGGAGACCAACTAGGATAGTTGAGGATTATTTTTGTCATTTGAATTATAAATAAATTAAATTGAAGCCGTGTGTATAACTTTGTAGAGCCAATAATAGCTCCATACAATTATTGTCACATATAATTTGAATGTATAAAATTAAAAGTTCTTACTCGGTATCAAGTCCTTACTTTTCAAAAAGATATCAGGAGTTCAATCTTCTAAAAAAAAAAAATTTAAATTCTTCAACGTGTTTAATGAAAAAATAGGTAAAACTTTGTGCTAAAATATACTCAAAATGTTAACAATAGTATCTAAAGGGGAAGAGGAGTTTGCACTCAATTAAATTTTACTTTATTTTTTTGAACTATTTACAAACTTTAGCAACATTTAATGGTGCTTAAATTATCATTTTTGATTACTAACAAAATTTAAGAAAAGTTCTAGTTTCATTAATTACAACTAACAAAGGTTTAGTAAAAATTAAAGAGAAAGTGTTAAATATAATTATGAAAAAAATTATTATCATGTTTTAAGTGTTATATGTTCACGGGACACCGAACATTTACGGGTTGAGTTCTTTCTTTGTAAAAATTCAGTTCTCCAACAAAGTTAGATAAACATTTCTCATAGTGTAAATTTGTGTCACTAACATCATTTATTACCAAATAATAAGATTAGTGAAAAAATTAAACACTACTCTAATTCATAACCAAATCACAAGGCTAGGTGAAAATAATTGGGGGTATCCAATCCCAATAAATCTCTCACCCCTATTAATGGTGTGAAGTTTAGCAACCCCACATAATTAGGCTCAAAATCTCATCCACACCATCTCCAACAAACCCCAATCCCCATTTCCAATCCAAAACCTAATTAGCCCTCCCCTAAATAAAGATCTTCCCACCACACGAAATTGGTTAAAAAAAGAGGTATGGAAATGGAGGCCTGAATTACAAGGCTTCCTCCAACCAATCAATGCAGAACTCAATGGATAGCTACATTTGTTTATCGAATTTTCAATATCTTCATTCATTACATAGAAGATTTGGTTTTTATCGAGGAAAAATTGATGAAAACCCCATTTTACAACCCTAAATCAAACTCAGTGAAAATGACCCTTTTCATTAATTACAGTGCTTTTGACTATACTCTTATTGATCTCCTTCAGATCTCCATTAATCCATTTTAAATTCTTCATAGACTCATTCATCTCCTTCCTCATTACTCCATCTTCAAAAGTCCTCTCTCTCTCTCTCTCTCCTCTCTTTCTCTCTCCATTCTCCCATTGCCTAATCAGACAGCGGGGAATAAAATAAAAAAAAAAAAGGAAAAAGGAAGAAAAAATCTTCCATATGTAGAACCAAGAAAACCACAAAAGTGGCAACAGCAACCAGTACACCTCCAAGAAACCAGAAAGATTCCATAAATAAAGAGAAAAGTTGAATAGCACCACCAACTACATACCTTTGTTTTTTCTCTCTTATCTTCAGGAGAGAATTTTTTTTGAACCCAAAACTTGGAACCCTAAATTTTTCACCACATTCCAAGAAAACCCAAGAAAATTATACTCGAGAGAGGAGGAAAAATCAAGGGTTTTTATTTTTTATTTTCATTTTTTGATTACAAATGAAGCAGATGTCCCACATTGACAGCATCCCATCATCACCAGGCAAGTCCAAGATGGAGAAATCTCCACACATTCACAGACTTAGATGGAGCGCTTCTCTCACCAAACTTACCTTCTGGTCCGTCGTGTTCATGGGTTTGATTTACGTCTTCTTCTACAGATCTCCTTCTCCGTCCTCTTCACTGTCCTCAGATCTCTCTCGCCGATCGCTCCGAACCCATTCCTGGGGCGGACCAGCCTGGGAAAAACGGGTTCAGTCCTCCGCCAGAGTCCGGTCGCGAAATGGGTTCTCCGTTCTCGTCACTGGAGCCGCCGGATTCGTCGGAACCCACGTCTCCGTCGCGCTCAAGCGCCGAGGAGATGGTGTTCTGGGTCTCGACAATTTCAACGACTACTACGATCCCCAATTGAAGCGAGCCCGACAGGGGCTATTGGAGCGAACAGGAGTGTTTGTTGTGGAGGGTGATATCAATGATGTGAATCTTCTTCGAAAGCTTTTCGAGGTTGTGAAATTTACCCATGTGATGCATTTGGCTGCTCAGGCTGGTGTGAGGTACGCTATGGAAAATCCTGGCTCTTATGTGCATAGTAACATTGCTGGTCTTGTTAATGTTCTTGAAGTATGTAAATCTGCGAATCCACAGCCTGCAATTGTGTGGGCATCGTCTAGTTCTGTGTATGGACTCAATTCAAAAGTACCTTTTTCGGAAAAAGATAGGACAGACCAGCCTGCTAGTCTTTATGCAGCCACTAAGAAGGCTGGTGAAGAGATTGCTCACACTTACAATCATATCTATGGACTTTCGCTTACCGGGTTGCGGTTCTTTACTGTTTATGGCCCTTGGGGAAGACCAGATATGGCGTATTTCTTCTTTACTAAGGATATATTGAAGGGGAAGTCTATAACAATCTTTGAAGGGCCTAATCGTGGCACGGTTGCACGTGATTTTACCTACATTGATGATATTGTGAAGGGTTGCTTGGGTGCATTGGATACTGCACAGAAGAGTACTGGTAGTGGGGGGAAAAAGAAGGGGCCGGCTCAATTGCGGGTCTTCAATTTGGGGAATACTTCACCGGTGCCAGTGTCAGACCTTGTGAGCATTTTGGAGAGGCATTTGAAAGTGAAGGCAAAAAGAAATGTTATGAAGTTGCCGAGGAATGGGGATGTGCAATTTACACATGCAAATATAAGCTTGGCTCAGAGGGAACTCGGGTATAAGCCCACAACCGATCTGCAGAACGGTTTGAAGAAGTTCGTTCGGTGGTATCTCAGTTACTATGGTTCTGGAAAGAAGAGCTCCCATTGATACATTCTTTCAATTGTGTGGTAGGATCATTCGAATTCTTGTTCATTTTGATTCTTATGATTGTTTTTAACCTATCTCTGTTCTTTGCTCGGTTATCTTGTTTTCATATATCTTAATGATGCCATACGAGAAGGAAATTTGCATTCCACGACGGGGAAGTTTTTGTTGTTGTTGAACATTGTTTCACGGGTACTCTAAGCTGTATCAAAATAAACCCAGAACCATCCTTTATAATTCTTGGGAATGTAATTGTTGTAGCTTTATCATTGTAGAATTCATGACTGATAGAGCATTATCTGATTGTGGACTTGTATCATCTCCCTGGTACTCCAATAAAATAGCACACGATAATTGCTTTTTCTGTTATATTTATACATATAATGTATTGTATTTGATTTTTTTATAATGCACAGTTATTTATTCCATAACATGTGCGGTGTATCAGCTTTGTTAATCTTTATTTTTAGATGCATTTCTGTATGATTTATTTTCCTTGAAATGGCGGCTCTTTCACCGTGCCCATCAATCCTGTTGCACTGGTCTACCATAGTTGTTCCATCTGCCCTCAATCAATGCAAAATCATACGATGCACATGTTTTTTTTTCCCAATAGAATAATTGATATATTCCACCTTTTAAATCATCAGCTACATTTACACTTTCCTATTCTAATATTTGAAATATCTGGTCTGTTTTCCTTTTTTTTCTGCATGAGATGCCAGGAATTTGCAATGCCAAAAATAGCACTTTTCAGTTTCAAGACATGTGATCTGGTAAATTCTTCAGTTCTCTTATGGAACTATTAATACATTGGAATCATTGTGATTTTGTGGTTCATAAAAGCTCGTAACTGGCTGTTTCTGTATTTAGAAGTATGTTGTCTTCGGGTTATCCTATTTTAGGTTTTCACAAAAATTCCAGCAGTCTTGATGGATTCAATTGTTGATCCAAGTATTTTATTTCTTTCTATCCCTTGATTAAGGAAACTTAATAGGTAGTCTAAATTATTATTCTCTGATTAAGTGGAATGGAATTCATTCTGCAAACTATATTGTCTATGCCATTGGTTAGAACATTTTCTCCATAAAAGGTGGTGATGTTGTGAAAACTGCAAGAAATGATTACTTTGTGTCGCAAATGTTACAAATTGTATTTACTTTGATGTGAAAATACATGTCGTAATTGTGTTGTTGACCCAAAATGGTCAGACCAAAATTTTATCATATCAGATGGGAAAAGTGACGGTTGACTGGAGAGTTTGCTTTTAAGGAGCTCTCCAGTTTTTGGATTCTCAAAACATCTAATGGACCAAAGATGAAAAAATAAACAAACAATTTGAGCTTCATTATCTCCCCCTCTGGTAGCTTCAGAGTCTCTTGTGTGTCTAATTTTGTCTGTTCTGTTTTTCCATTGCCTATTCGACTAGTGCACTTACAAGTTACAATATGACCTATACCTGTTGTGTTCACTTACAGAATTAGGTTTGACTTTTTGTTAAAGTTGATATAGAATTTCCCATCAAGAGCTATGACTTCTGTTGGAGATTGATCTGTTTATCTTGATGTTGGCATGCTAATTTTGTAATTTCGTACTGTCTTAATGTCTTTCCAGTCCCATGGCCATTTCAATTTTGTCACACCAAAATCTGTTTGATACGGTGAGTGCAAGATTTCCCCTTCTATTTTTGCTTTTTGAGCTGAAATACATTAATGACTTTGCATTAAAACGATGATATTAAGGCATTTTTATCACATTACAAAATTTGTTTGACTCTGTGATTGCCAGGTTCTTCCCGTTTATATTTGCATTTTATGTGCTGGAAGACATTCTTTAGAAACATAAATATAAATATAAATATAAAAATATATATATATATATTTTCATTATGTTACTCTACCCCCATTGTCTTAACAGTTTGTCATTAAAGGCAAACTGTAACTGCTTGGATTTGAGTCTAGTTTGACACGGGACAACTGACAAGTATGTTCAAAAGAAAATTGTGGTTCCCTTATACTTTACTTTCAGCTTCTATATCGTTGCATATGAAGATTCCAAAAGTTTTTTTTTTTCTTTTGGTTGTTCTTCTTTAAGCCTGTTAAAAAACCCCCCAAGTTCATGCCCATGCCCATTAATGGAAGCACCAGGTCCATCAAAGAGACCAATATTAAGATATTTAAACACATACCTTACTCAAAAAATCTTTCATCTCTCTCTCTCATTTCAGATCCCGAAACCAAATTTTAGGTTTATATCTATTATTTAAACCTTTCTCGTCTCCCTAATATGAGTTTGCTCTTTCTTTTTCATTTTGTCGCGTCACCATGGAGAACAAGAGTCCATCAGAGAACCCCTCAATTCCATTCATTGACTATGAAGGATTGGATCTTCTCAGTGATTTCTTCTAGTTTATATATATTTATATATTGGAATCTGTATGATCTGCGACTTATTTATGTATCTGTGAGTATATATGAATACAAGCTCAAGCTAAGCCATGAATAGTCTGACCTTGGCTGAAAATGGTCGTGAAAATACAAGCCAAGCGCGAATATACCTTTGTGTATGACGATTGAACCTTTGGCGACGCTTTGGGAATTTTCACCTTCACTCATATTTCCAGGTGAGCTTTCCCGCTCCTCCCACCCAAAAAAAACATATTTCTTCTGGTTCAACGCTTTCTTATATGATAGTTTTGCCTCTTACCAGTATAGTTCAGCAGGATTCTCGTCCTCTACCAATTCAAAACTAAATCTGGGGTCTTTTTGAACGATGCGGGTAATGGGAGGAATATAGATTTTCTATATCAAAATCTGGTCGCTAGATTATTCTTCTCATTTGCAAATCTGCTGAGTTTTTACAATATTTATCTTCCTTGTTTCGTTGAGTTATTCAACCTAAGCAAGATTCTCGAACCTGTACAAAGGTTAGTATGCTGACCAGTCCTAGTGAGACAGGAATTCTGCTTGGGGTAAGGGGAAGAGTAAATTCTTCATTATGCCATAATGCCTTGTATGTTTTCATGCTATAATATTGCCATTTTTCGTTACATGTTTAATTATGGGCAGATGTCTGTCTTGTTCTGTGGGGAGATTCATCTTGCAAATAACCTTCTCTTCTTTCATTTGTAGCCTGGCATTCTTTACTTGGATGGCTGGGAATAATTCAGTCTTGAAATTTTGTGTTTTTGGAAAGGTGCTATCATCATTGCTCAATGATTGCATCTTTTTGAAACCATTTTAAGATGCATTTACCTATAAATGCCTCCTGTTTGTTAATTCATGTTCTACACTCTGTATCAGTCAATCAAACCTGGAATCTAGGATTTTATGTATCTTTGAATTCTTAAATACAATGATTAGTTGCATTTACGTCTTAAACCTAATTGTGCAACCATGTTAGTGGTTGCAGCAACCAACTAGGTTACTCATATATTGTAGGTTGGCTGATGTCTCAAGGCTAGCAAATTCTTGCTCTCATTCTCTTTTTTTATTATTATTATTTTATTTTTCCCCACAAGTTATTTGTGCTTTCATTCTTAATGCACAATTTATCTGCTGTTTTATTGTCATCTTTAGCAAAGAAAGAAGTTGCATTGTCCATGGCATCATCAATTGCACTTTGTTCCCGATGACGCTGAAGTTTAACTTAACAGACATTCTTTATAGATTTGGATGAAGAACTTTTTGTACTTGGTCAAGAATCTCTTTAGGGCAAAGGAAGCTAAGCTGCTGTACTGAAGCTGATTCATTGTTGTTCCATATTTTGGTGGTGAATGCATTATTTATAAGTTACATGATATTGAGTTTTGGAATGGAAGCTGCTGTACTGAAGCTGATTCATTGTTCCATAGTTTGGTGGTGGATGCATTATTTAAAACTTGCATGATATTGAGTTTTGGAATGGCCATGGCTAACATTCAGTATACATCCCTTGTTTATGATGAAATTTTGAGTTTCAATTATTGCTTAGTAATTGGGAAGTTGGATCCAGTCTTTCTTAGAACCAGTTTCTTCTAGGGTGTGCTTGATATTGTTTCCTTTCTACCTTGTGGGGAATAGATTAGGTTTGATATTTAATCTAATACTTGACAAATTTTTCGTCCAACAAATGAAATGAACTTGGTTTTCATTGAATTGATACATTTGTTTGACAACCTACCTTCCTCGTTTTGGGAGTTTGTGTTGGGAATTTTAAGGAACTGGGAAAAAAAATTTTATGCGAAGGATGAAAATGATGATAATCTTTTTCCTTGGATGGAAATGGTTTAACACCAAAGAATAATAATAATTGAATTTTTATAATGCAAACAGATCCAAATGTACAAGTCACTCCTCACCTATTTATGGTTATCTAGTCTACCATAAATGTCCAATCTACCATAAATGTCCTACATTTCTATAACTTCTTTCATAATACTCTCTAATCTTCTATAGACTTCTCAACACATATCTACAAACTCCAACATTTTAGAATTGAAAAAAAAAAAAAAATCTTCCAACCCTCTCCAATAACTCCACAATTCTCTAGACTTCACTTTCGCGCTCAACAATTCTCTAGAAGACTCTAGACTTCACTTTCGCGCTCACATGTTGCCTGCATGGCATAACTTTCCTGCACAATTAGTTGGGGGTGTAAAACAACATGAAATACCTCTTCTTTTTTCCTTTTTTCTTTTGTTTTTTGGGGACAAACTAAGGAGAGAGAAGACTCAAACACCAGCACTTCTGTTCAAGGACACTTTGGACCCCAGTGTAGTGGTTGCAAGAAAGCCTATAGTGTTATCATGTACAAAGAGGTTAATATTACAACGCAATGCCCTAAACAACATGAAATACTTGAGTTACAAAGTTTCTCATCATTTGAAGCATTGATAGATAGAAATATTGTACTCAATTGAGGTTATCTCATTACATGTGCCATATTTACATTTTTCAATGAAAAGAAGAACCAATGATGTCTTCGGAGCAAAACGGGTCCCATAAGTTCCAAAAAGTAAAAAATAATATCTGATCAATTCCAGATCTAAAAAGGTATGGGCTGTCTATCTGGCCATGACAAAATCTTTTCGAAGTACTTCACTGGCACAACACCATCGAAACCCTCTGTCAAGATCACCTTGTTGTCTGAAATGTAAAGCTTCATTCCCTCTGCAATAGATGTAGCATTAGACAAACATTAACTGGTTTCATTTCGAACTTCAATATGAACCGATTTTGTTATATACCTTCCAGAGCTTTTCTGACGTCAAGAAAGATCAAAACATTAACATCCCGTCTCATACCTGAAAGATGACAAGTCATGTAGTTGATCAGAATCCAGCAAAAGTATATAATTTTTTCTGGATGCAGATGATTTATCATCTCATCCAACTATTTTTAAATTCACACAACTCCTCTAAGAAAAGACACTGTCATGTATAAATGTTTCTAAATGGTGCAATACAAAAAATTAGGTGCCTGATACAAGAAAACTTGAAACCAATAGGCCTCCAGAAAAAAATTGTCAGTCCAGTTTTTCAGAAACTTGTGATATGGAGAGCATTCTTAACACAATTTGATGAGACTTCCCATCAACAGAGCTATGTTAGCTAGAAGGAAGGTAGCCTATTTGTATCATACTAGCATGTAATAACTTATCCAACTACCATTTCACCGGGATACATACGCAAATTAACAGTCACATCTAGTAAGTCATCAATATCACCTCTTTGACTCTGAACTCTGTTAAAATCTGCACAACCAAAGATCAATTTATTGCACAGAGACAGACCAGAGATGCATAAATTAGAGGGAGAGGCCATCATTAACATATAAGGCACCATGTTCTTGGTGTTACTCTTTCTTCATTCCCTTCTACTTCCCCTTTCTGGTTTTACTTTGTTTTCCACTTCGCAAAAGCAGGTGAGGCATACATATCAAATTTCAATGTACTATAAGCAATGAAATCATGATTATCTCAGAAACTATAAGCAATGACATCATGATTGTTTCAGAAAGTAAGTGATGCTGATAAAATAAAATAAAAGAGCAAGAAGATTTCTCCAAGCATCTTACCGCTGATTACTTCTCCATCTGCTGGCAAGCCACATGAGAAGTGTACATGCAACCTTTTCATGCGCTTGAGACCATGCTCCAAAATTAAATCCAAGAATTTCTTATAGGTTCCATGCACACAGACTGCAAATCACCAAGGTAAAAATGCATTGAAGCAAAAAAATATGAAAACTACGGTGTAAACAAATATATCACATGTAGAAGTATCTTAACCTGGAACTTCTTCGGCTGAAAGGATTGGTTTTAATAAGCTTTCAGTTTCTACTGTCTGTCAAACACACAAAGAAATTTATATAAATTGTTGGAGCAAAAGAAGTTCATTAAAAGACAACATAAAATTACATTACAACAAGATTGTGATAACTTCAGGACATGTTCTAACTTTATAGCTACTGCATGGAGCTATGTAGTAAATAAAGGAAGATGGAGGTTTACACCTTGGTAATTAAAAAAATTAAAGGGCTGGCTAGATTTCTTGGGTTCCCTCTCGCGGTTCAGAGAAACATTTTATCACACTTTCCGAAATATTGAGAAGACTAAGAAATTGAAGAATAGAGGGCCAAGAAAGGGGTAGATCTAGTTTGCAGGCATAGATTTAAGATAGTTGCTAATACAGTGAACTTTGAACCAAGAAGGAACAATACTTTGAGTAAGAAGAAAGGATTTGTTGGGGTTATTTTATTTACTTATTATTTTGTGTTTTTTTTTTTTTTTGGGGGGGGGGGGGGGGGGGGCGCGGCGTTTGGTGTGTTGAAGTTGAAAACTATTCATTGAATGCTAGGGATCTTAACAATCTGGATAAAAAATCAGGTGAAATCAATGCTTAAGGAGTCCTAAAACCAATTATGTCATAGGTTTAAGATAATATGTCAGCATTTACAATCAATCTGAAAAGATCAATTCCTGTATCAGCAATTCAGATAATAAAATACTTTATTACATTAGTATTCTGTTCTGCAAAAACAAAATAATTCGTTTCATGTCAGGCCACCACTCACCAGCCTATTGCCTAAGTGAAATCATCTCTACAATTTATGCTTAAGGGTCTGGGTTTGAAACCTTGACGACCTTGGGAGGCACCTTAAAGGCTTGTATACCACCTACTAGTTAACAAAAAAAAAGAAGTAAATAATTCAACAATATAACATTGATCACCGACTTGGGATGCATGGCTACCATGTCAGTGGCGATGGTGCATGTTCACCACATTAGGGTCTTCAAAAGTTCAACATTATGTTCATAATATATTCCCATGAATCACAATGAAAAATAATAATAAATTCTACACTCATACAAGTCATGACACAAACCCATTCTCATAAATCATAAAAAAAATTCAATGACATAAAAAGGAATAAACTTAGACATATGAAACAAGAACACAGCCACAACAAAAAGGATGCCATGGGCACTTGATTCAGGATCATAATAATCAAATTAGTGAATATTCACTTAGTGAAAAGTTCAAAATAACAGTGAGGGAGCTGTAAAACACAATAACATGCACATATATAAGGTCACCTGCTGGTCTCAACCCTCCATAAAAAAAAAATTTCTTTCAAATTCATAACCACAGTCTGGTTAAAGGAGAATAAATTACCGTTATTGTGTGCCCTTGATTTGCACGTATCAAAATCTCTCCATTTTCGTCCAGTAGGCTAAACCGCTGCTTATTGTCCTTTCTGACAGCCTGTGGACAATGAATTAAAAAGCTAAAAGGAAACTTGTCGAGAAACTAATGTGAAATACAAGTGATCATGATGAAAATATTCACATTTTGTGGGTCAAATGAAAAAACCGAACAGAAAAAGCATGAAGTTAACAATGTACGGGATGTACAGGAGATGTACTGAGGACAACATGAATATAAACATCATAGAAGCTGGTGTGTCTGAAGGAGTCAGGGAGGTAGATACTTGATGTGCAGCATAATATAAGCTACCAGAATAGAAGTTATTATTCAAGTCAGTTATTAGATCTTAGTAACAAGACAACTTTGGCAGAGCTCTTACCAGTGTAAGCCTGCCATTCAGGCAATGTCTAGGCGAGCCCTACATGAGTTCAGAATGGTTTTATGTTGTTCATTAAAATTTATATGGTTATATTACTTATATACATGACTACAACATGTCTATGTTGATCCTAGAACTAAAGAAATTTATATACCTACTGAGCAGTGTTGGACCCAGAAAATTTTATTTGGAGGAGCAGAACTAATTACATAAGAAGATTAAAAATAATAAAAAGTAATATATTTATTCACAATTGGGTCTTATCATATATGTTATATATAAAGAATATTATCTATAAACTAAAAGTATTTCGTAACTTACTAAGTGCATAAAATGAGAAGGGCATGGGTAATCTATGGGTTTTCTAAACTTCTCCCTCTAAACGTGGGCTTCTAAAAGTTAAAGCCTAGACGAGTTAAAATTAAGGCTATTTATAAAAATTATAGAGAACACCTATTATTATTATTATTTTAATGTTTTCAAGCTCACTATTTATAGAAAAACAGTATTAATAGGGTTGCACAAACTTTTGGAGGACCAATTATATATATATATATATATATATATATATATTAATGTTAAGTATTCAAGCTCACTATTTAGAAGGCAATATTCTTAGTGTTTTAAAAGAGCTGGCTTTTTGGGGGCCAGGGGGGATGTGTGTTAATTACTTTTTTATGTTTCAAGCTTACTATTTATACCACAGTTTGGGGTTTTGAAAAATAAAACTAGGGAACCTCAGAGATTATGTTCCTTTTTGCTCGTTTTCAGGCTTCTCATCATTCTTCTTTGGCACCTAAAGTAGAGATCAGAGGTATTTAGCCCCCAAAAGGGGTTGGGGTTATGAGTCCCTTACTAGCTCTATCCCACCAACTGAGAAACTTTTGAACTAATTTCTGTTGATAAGTGAAATGAATATATCTTAATGGACAATAGGAGAAATGCAATGGTGATACACCGTAGCAGATTTTTTTTTTTTTTATTTATTTTAAAATGTAAAAAGGAGGAAAAATAATCCTTTCTTCAATTCATGATAAAGCTTGAGCCGGAGAGAGAAAGGAAAACGAAAGTACGAAAACAAGGAAAGAGATAAAAATGAAAAATCCAATGAAACTTACTGAAGCTTTTAAAAAGAAAATCCCTAGAATAGAACTCTGTTAAGGGAGTTATGACAGATGCAATAAAATATGTGGAAGACAGAATATAAAGAATAAGGGAGTTACAGAACCAACCTCCCGAACATCATCAACAGTGTGAGATCTTATTGGAATATTTGCGAAGGTTTTCATGTTCAGCTTCAATAGATCTTGAACCTTGACATACCCATCACTCCTCATATTCAAGTTCAACTCAGAAGCCATGTGCCGCAATATACGTGTCCTGTAAATATTATATACAGTATACACAAAGACAAAAATTGCTCAATTCATATGACTTGCACAATTAAATATTTTTATGCACCTTTTGGTTGCTGAAGGAAAGTATGGAAAGAAAGAATCAAAATTTTGAACTAATTTTTTTTTCAAAATAAAGAACTTGGATTAAAATTTTGATTATTTTCTTTTGTTGCTTGAAAAACTTAGTGTTACAAAATTTGGACACATAACAACTATATTTGCAAAGTCAAGCCTAATACAACTAAAAAAACAACACAACTCTTCTTAATTGAGGTGGATTTTCTAATTTTTTGTAAGCCAGTGAAACCAAAATTGAAAAATACGGAGCATACAATTAATCAAAAATTAAAACAAAAGTCAAAAGTAAGAGTTATGTTTAAATCATCATATAAAATGGGCATTAAAAATTTTCATCATTACCTAATTCAAAAACATTCAGATCCAAGGCAACAAATCAATTCAACCTCCCACTTTCAGAAATTTTTTGTTTTGGTGTAATCTGCTTCTTCAGCTCTAATCATCATTCAACCTCAAAGGCCAACTTGTTTAATCACATGGACTTCAAAAAATAGAAATTTTATTTACTTACTTATTTCTACGAGTAAAAAACCCAATACAAAATCCCAAATAAATTGAAACGAATATAAACAGATAATATCACACAAATAATTAGAAGAAAAAATCAAAGAAAATATACTCTACATACATGAGTCTCCCTAAAGCGTCAATTTTATCTTTACCGCCGCTGCCGCCGCCGCCACGGCCTCTCGACCTCTCACGGCTATCTTTCATCTCTAAACCTCTTCCTCTACCACCACTGCCATAAATACAAAAACAGTGCAGCAAATCACATCAGAAAACAAAAAAGCCCTTTAATTCCACTCATGCGTTGAGCTTTCTTTTCAATTTTCAATGTTTACTAGGCTGCCAAACAGAGAGAAAAGAAAGGAAAACATTGGGCTGCAAAACACAGAGAAAAGAAAGGAACACCTTACCTTCGACCAGAATGAGCGAAAGCAGAGGAGGATGAGCTCTTGAGGCTGTCCATTAAAACTAGGGCACGAAAATTGGTGCGAAGAGAGGAAGACGAAGTAGCAATGGAGACAGGAGGAAGAGACCCACAGCAGTTGCGCAGAATTCGTAAACCACCGCCTGCTACAGAAGCCCACATCGATGTGTCGATCCGTTTGGGAACTGGCGTTATGACGATGCTGATGTAGCACGTGTGTGGTATTACGTATTTTTAGTGAAGAAGGAAGGCTAGAATACATAATACAAAGAAACACAGCCCATATCAAACAAACAAGCCCAGCCCAATGACTAAAATTACCGCATAAACAAATTCGGAGTTCTTTTTTGTGTGGCCAACTAAGACAAGCAATAAGAAAGAAACATCCTCTTGAATTATTGTAATAGAGTCTTGATTGACATAAACCATCGTCCCTTTACAAACATTTGATGATAATACATTATGCAACCAATAGATCAAAATCTGCAATTTCAATCATTGATTGTACATTGACCATACACACTTCAAATTCCAAAGATAGATATATCAGAAGCAAAGAGGCCAGTCTCTTTAATATACAACTTGTCTCTTTAATAACAATATCATTAAATAATTCATAAATCATCTTATATATTATAAAACATTCAGCCTTGCTTGTTGGGTTTGTTGTGTTGATGGAACTAAGAAGCTGACTCCGTACAAGCATGCTTATCTCTGAATTTATTTAAATATTATGAAATGCAATTTAAGGTTTTGGAAGATATATGATATACCGCCATCAAATTGTGTGTGATCCTATTGAGGATGTGGATTTTTCTTTTCTTTGCTTCCAAACAAACTACTATTTTAGGAATTTTTATTTTTATTTTTATTTTTCAAAAAAGAATAAGACTATAAATAGAATTCTTAGAAAGAGGAAATGGATTTCAACGGAATTGAAATTGAAAATGGATTTTTTTTCTTTAACAATTTGAAAATGGATTTCATATGCTTTGGGTGAATGGGATTTTACAAGAATTGGAATTTGATGGAATTTCAGGAGAAATTTTATAGCGAAGTTTAATTCGGAAATAAATGAGAGGATTTGAGGGAATTTTAGTAATTACTCATGCGTTTAACTTACCAGCTAAAGTTGTTTTTTTTTTTTAATTCTATCCTAAACACAAATGGAATCCTATTTTAATTAGAATTCAATTCCTCTTGCAATTCTAATTTCAAATCTCAAAAGAATTTAATTACAATCAAAGCAACTTCCGGATTAAGAAACAAAGAAAAATATATACAACATGGATAATTTTCGGATCAGGAAACAAAGAAAAATACAAGTAGGATAACTTTCGGATTAGGAAACAAAGATTTACTCGGTTTGTTTTATTTTATTTTATATATATATAAATAGGGTTAGGGTTAGGGTTACTCATTGAGTTGAAATATAATTTGCTGATTTCCTGTTCTAGGATTCCCTCTCAATCAAACCGGTTGATAGCGGACATGGCGGCTAATAGCAATAATAAAAAAAATTATTGTTGTTGGTCTGAGCTTCCCCAAGAAGTGCTGGAGTTGATCATGGCACATGTGACCACAACGTTCGATCTTCTACGATGTCGCGGTGTATGTCACTCATGGCGATCTGCTGCGGCGAGGGTGCTATCATCTGAAATTACGAATGGAGTACCAAAAAGTAGTGCTACTCCATTACTACTCCTGTACAGTACTAACGAGTTATTATGTGATGATCATCGCAAACTGTTATGTCTTGGTTTTGGCAAAAACACCACCACCACAGAGTATAGGTACCGTCCACCCAACATGAAGAGGTTGTCGTACAATGATGATGATGATGTGGTATACCAGATTAGTTGTTTGGAATTTAGAAAAGCCATGGAGAGCTTCCTGAGGGCAGACGACGCCGACGTTGTTGAGGAGGAGACTGATTCCGGCGGTGGCGGTGGTAGTAGTGGTGTTGCTGTTCCCAAAAGGACCGTATGTATCGCTCCCCATCGTGGATGGCTACTACTGTATCCCTATTATGAGAAGGGACTGTATCTCTTCAATCCCCTTTCAAGAATGGTTGTCCATCTTCCACCACCACCCAAACAGTCAATGATCAGTGACAGAAAGGACCTTAGATTCATCACATCGTCCAGTCTTAGCGATCCCAATTGCATGCTCTACTTGTACACCATATACTCATATCATATCGCTGTTTATAGATTTAGTCATAGGGAGTGGACGCCTGTTTTCACTAGAGGAAGCTACAGATGGGTTTCCCTTATATTCTACCAGGGTAACTTCTACTGGCTTGATGATGGTGGTGCGCTTCGATGCTCCTTGTTGGATAAATCTTTGTCTAATTACAATGAGGAGACGGTATGCAATTGTCCTAGTACTTTCAACTCATACACTGAGGTATGCAATTGTTTTAGTACTGTCAACTCATACAGTACTGAGGTATGCAATTGCATTGGTACTATCAACGGATACAGGTACTTTAGGTACTTGGTGGAGTCGTGGTCCGGTGAATTGTTGATGGTTGTGAGGAATTTTGAAAGTTACCAAGATTCTAATGGCAAACCGAGAACCAGAACCAAGTTGTTTGAAAATTTTAAGTTTAATTGGAGCAATCGTAAATGGGAAGATGTGACTAATTTCGGTGATCAAGCTTTATTTTTAGCTCATAATGATTCAAAGTTCGTTTCAGTTAGATACAACCCTGAATATAAACCCAACTCTATTTATTTCATTGATGATGTCATCTTATCTAACTCACTTGAAGAAGATTTTGGAGTGTATAATTTGGAAAAACGCAAGGTGGAGTCATTAAATCTCTCTCATGAACAGATGCAATATAATGTACACTATCGATGGTTTCAACCGATCCTATAGTCTATATTGCTTGATGTACGAAATCTTTAATTTTCTTTTTCTAAGGTTTTGTATGGTCCTATGGGCTATATTGCTTGATGTACAAAATCTTTAATTTTCTTTTTCTAAGGTTTTATATGCACTCTTGTTAATCATACACCGTGAAATTAATGGTTGTACTTTTGTTCCTCTTAATATTAACAGAAACCTTTTACAGCTGATTTTCATTTTAAATTTTGGCTTTTTTAATAGCTATTACTTTGTTATTGATGGAATTCTATTATTAAAATTTTGGAATTTTAATACTACCTATTATCTTTTAGGCTGTTACTTTGTTATTAATTGAAGTTTATGTGGGAGAAGCATTTCATGGGATGCTCCTGTTCAAAGATGCTCATGTTGGTTTATAGGGGAAAATATATGTGCGTGGAGGAGGCAATTGTTGCAATAGACAGAATATTCCTCCTGAATTAAATTGGTTCCTTCTTGCCATTTCACGGTTATATAAATTGATACAATTAGGGTGCACATGGTTCTTCAAATTAAATTAAAATCAAACTAATTCTTAAAAAAACGGTGACCGATTCAGGTCTGAACCATAATTTTTATTAGAAGTTTTTCATAGTCAGTAGCGTTATAAGAATATATAATATTGAATGAAAGCTATTGACTTGTATTTGTTTTTTCAAATGATAAAGTAAACACACGCTCTTTTGCAAATGTTGGGGTTCGAACCTCTCCCCCTCTTTAAGGATGGAGAGATTATACGCATGTAGAAAGCTATTAATAGTTTCTTATTTTTGGAACCAAGTATATAAAAAATTTGACCGATTCAACTTGTACATATGAAATAATAAGAGTTTCGTAAAATAAAATAAATGATTAGTCATGTCCTTATCACTTAAACTTATTGATAAGAGAAGTAAATATAAACTAAGAGGGTAAATGACCACCAGAGTGGTATCTTAGTCAAGAATAGAAGATGATTGTCATATGATTTGATAAGTAGACATGTCCAGTAGAGCAAACACAAACATCTGAACATTTGAAGTGCAAAATGAAATCACATTAATCAAAACAAATTTTTAAATATTTAAGTGTTGCATTCATCTGCATCCTGCTTGAAAGGGATTGCCTTACCCCTCCAATAGGATCGGAACACATTCTCTCATCACCTAAGAGAGGAACAAAATTCAAATATTATATTTACAGGGGAAAAAAAAAAGTTTCAAAGTTCAAAACCACATTAAATGGAGCAGAGTTACTTAATTTATGAAAAAAATAATGACTCACAGTAGTTATGAAGAGGTCACATCCACAGTCAAATGTGAGGAGAGAGCGATTAACAGGCTTGGGCTTTAATCTAGCAGGCTAAAATTCGAATTAGTCATTGAAAAGTTAAGCACGCAATTACACAATCTTGCCCAAAGTGGCCCATGGGCTCAATAATTCTTTCATTAATTGAAAGGTGCATGGGTGGCAAAGTTTGATACAATTTACCAACACGATTCGAACACGACACAAGTTAAACGGATTTGGATTAACCATAAGCGGATTGACACGATTAATCCATTTAGTTAATCGTGTCGTATTTGGATTAAGTGATTCAACCATATTACTCGTTTATACCCATTTAATCATACATGTTATAAGCAAATTTCTATTTAAGTTTTAAAATAATTATCTAAATTTGTATCTTATAATTTATTCTTTTGTATATTAGAGATTATTTAGTAATTTGATTGGATTGAAACTTATACTTTTCTAGTATTTAAAGTTTGATGGAATATTATTAATAATTTAAATAATAAAATATTTAATTTTATTAAACAGGTTATACGTGTAACTCGTTTAATAAACAGGTTGGGTTAGTATCGAGAGTTCTTGATACGATTATTAAATGGGTCGTGTTTAAATTGAACTGTTTACTAAAATATCCTTAAATTGATACGATACGATTAGGATTTACGAATACAAATTGCCATGCTAAGAAGGAGAGACTACTTATGTCCTATAATAGATTATTGGGGTGTCTGAGAGGCCCACACCATCATCGTCCAAAGAAATATTAATAACAAACAAACCCGGAGAGATGATTAACAGGATTTGGCCCAAAATCAAAAACAGTCCAATTGAACAGGACCGCATCTAAAATTTGGACACACAAATGCAGAATCCTACCTAAAGCGGCCCATGGAAAAGTGGTCGCGTTTGGGCTTGTTTGCTTCAATTAGTTCCAAAGTATATACAATTGGAATTATTATAATTCAAAGCGGTAAAAGTGAAAAACTAGCTACTCTCAGGTACTCGTATGCAATTAAAGTAGATATAAAATCCTAATCTCCTCTT